TGTCTTCTTATAGCCTCAGCTGGCCTGGAACTCACTGTGTAGACCAGGCTGGCCTCTATATCACAGAGATCTGCCTGCTTCTGCCTCCTGAGTGCTGGGACCAAAGGTGTGCACTACCATGCCCGCCACTATTTGTGTTTTCTGAGACAGGATCTCACTATGTAGCTCTGGCTAACCTGGGACTTCATGATCCTTCTGCCTGCAGCTTCGTAGAGCTGAGGTTACAGGTGTGCACCTCCATACTGGCTCTATTTGATGGCTTCTCTACAGGCATGGCTCTGTGACCAGTGGTGTGATAGAGTGGTTTTCAGCCAGTCTGGAACAGACCTGTGGCTCCTCTTGTAGAGTTGAGGTATCCTGTGTTGTCACTCAACTTAACTCTTGTCAGCTCAGGCAGCTGCTCACAGGATCATGGCAGCTGTTGATGGTCTCTGCCTTCTCTCTGTGGTCAGAGATGGAGCCTCTCTTGGGAGCCCTCAAGGTCTGTTGCTAGGCGCTCTACCTGCAGTCTCTGGTCTCTACTCCTCCTTCTCTAGCAGGTGAGCCACCAACAGGGGACAAGGTGACTGCTATGAACCAGCCCCTGTATGCCTCCATGGTGTGGATAACCAAGAATGGTGGACTGGACACTGTCAGTGAGTCAGCTGCTGGAAGCCAGGGCCCAGAGGGAGCAGCTGGTCTCGTGTGGTGTGGTTAAATGTGTTTATTTACTTTGTCTTGGTTCCAGTCCTTTTCTGTGTTGTTAGGGCTGTGTCCATGTCCCCTCCCTTTCCCTCATGCTGCAGTAAGGAGCTAAGAGAGAATCTTAGGTGTGGAAGAAGTGACGAAGAAGGAAAGGTCCCTGGAGGCTGGGAGGGACTCACTGGAAGCACAGGGCAGGCGGCAGGAAGGGTGTGTGTCAGGCTTCCCTCCCTGAAGAGGTGGGAGGGCACAACACTACAGGGACATTAAACTGAACAACCAACCAGTCCCAAGGGGTGTGTGTGTCTGTAGCTGCCACTCAGGAGAATGGAATGTTATTCTGGGCTTATGGCTCATGGCCCTGGCAGAGCTGCAGCTGAAAGACCCTTGGCCAGGAGGGACCCCTGCTAACAGCCTGGAAAAGGTCACCTTACTTTCTGCTCTGCCCTGACCTGACCTTCACTGACAGGAGCCAGTCCCCTACCTCCAACCTCAGGAGGGCCATCTGCTGTGTTACAAGAACTGTTAGCCTCACCCACAGACACCCTCCCAGTTACACCTAGAACTGCATAGTCCAAATGTCTGGGTGCTCTGTGGCTGGTCGTGGTAGCCCACAGAACTAAGCTTCAGGAAGGGGAGAGGAGAGACTTGAAGTGGGGTTCCTGTGGATGGGCAGCTTTGAGGGCATCTGTGTTTTTTGGGGAGGTGGAAGCAGGGCCTTCCAGATGAGGGAAGGGAATAGGCATGTGAGTTGATCTCAAGGACAGTGTTAGGATGCTGGGACTGAGCAGGGAGCTGGGGTCCCTGCACTAAAGCCCCTCACGGAAGGGTCTGCAAGCAGGTAAGGAGGCTGCACACTGAGACAAGCTGCATTGTGAGCCAGTGTTGGGTGCGACTGGCAGGGTGACAGCCCTCCTGCCCTTCCTGGTGACACTGCCTGTGCTGATGGCAGCACTGGAAGCCAGCAGGGCTCACTGGACATGCTTGTGGCCCACTATTCAGATCTGCCTGATGCTGTACTTTTTCTCATTTCCACTTGTTTTCTTTTTGGGGTGGGGGTTGTTTTGTTTGAGACAGGGCCTCACTTTGTAGTCCTGGCTGGCCTAGATCTTAATATGTAGACCAGGCTGGCCTTGAACTCACAAAGATCCACCTGCCTTTGCCTCATGAGTGCTGGGATTCACCATCAGTCAGCCTGGAAATAACTGACATTTTTTTAAAGGCTATATATGTATGTGTGTATATATAAGTGTATGTCTATAATTCCAGCACTTGAGAAAGTCAGAGGCAGAAATACTGCAGACAGTTTGAGGCCAGCCTGGGCTACAAAGTGTGTTCAAGGGTCCATTAAAATGGCTTAGCAGGTAAAGGAGCTTGCCTCCAAGCCCAGTAACCTGAGTTTAGTCCCTGGACCCACATGGTGGAAGGAGAAAACCACCCCCCCCCCATAAATTTTTTAAGAAAGTGAGTTTTAGGATAGTGAGACTCTGGGAGAACCAAGCTGCTTGGAGTGGTGTGCAGGCTCCTTGTGCTTGGCTCTGGGTGCTCTCATCTGTGGAAGCCATGTTTGGGATGGAGGCTTGCAGCTTGGGCAGCATGGGGTAGCCTGTGACGTGCTGAACTGTAGGCCTGGCAGAACTGGGCATGTGTCAGATGAGCCGCTAAGACCCAAGAACCTGCCACATGAGGCCCTGTGTTCAGGGGTAGGGGGATGAGGACTGGAAATTGGGCTTACAGTAGCTGGTCTCCTCTCTTTCCCTTTCCTCTGGTCCCTCTCCCCCAAATAATGCTGTGTAGTATTGGGAGCTCACTACTACGCAGCACACAGAGAAAGTACCTTTGTAGCCACAGTTAGAAAGGTGAGAAGAAAGCCTTCTAGATGTTTTCTGTGCTCATGTGTATCTGTATTACAGAGAATCTGGTTTCTTTTAGTTGGTTTTCTTTTTGTTTTTTTGGTCTTTTTGAGACAGGGTCTCCTTGTAGCCCCAGCTTGCCTGGAACTCACTCACTATGTAGACTAGGCTGGCCTTGAAGTCACAGAGGTCTGCTTGCCTCTGCCTCCTGCTGGGACTAAAGGCCTGTGCCACCACGCCCGGCTCTCTTTTTGAGACAGGGTCTCCTTGTAGCCCCAGCTGTCCTGAAACTCACTATGTAGACCAGGCTGGCCTTGAACTCACAGAGATCCACCTGCCTCTGCCTCCCCAGTGCTGGGATTAAAGGCGTGGGCTACCACGCCCGGCTCTTTTAGTTGGTTTTAACAGTGTCAGACTTTGTGTCACTGGGATGAAATACTTGGCAAAAGCACTGAAGGCCTGGCTTTGACTCACCATTTCAGAGCTCAGGCCATGGTCCTTGGTCTGATCCTGGGCTGTGGGGTATATGATGGAGCAGAACTGCTCACCTCACGATGGAGGAGGGGTAGAGAGAGGTGAAAGGACTGGGGATCAGGTATGACCATCAAAGGCAGAGCCCCAAGTGACCACTTCATCCAGGCCCACCTGCTAATATTCTTACAAGGCTCCGAAACAGTGCCCTAGCCTAGGACCTGTGCTCAACACAGTCTCTGGGGGACGTTTCACATCTAAACTATAATAAACAATGTCAGTAGGGCAGTTTTGTTTTCATTTGGAAGTAGTTCTAAAATGCTATCATGTAAAATTCATAACACAAATAAATGCATTCTTTTTTGTTGTTGTTGTTTTGATCTTTTTGAGACAGGGTCTCCCTTGTAGCCCCAGCTGGCCTGGAACTCACTATGTAGACCAGGCTGGCCTCAAACTCACAGAGATCCTCCTGCCTCTGCCTCCCGAGTGCTGGGATTAAAGGTGTGTGACACCATGCCTGGCACAAATGTATTCTTCTGCAGCCAGTGTTGTCATGCTGATTCCCAGGTCCCTGGCCAGGCCTTATCCCCATCATAAGCTGGTTCCATGTCTTCATGATCATGTTATCAGGATGCCAGATATCTCACCTGATAAGATACTACCTCATTCAGATTTTAAAAATAATTCTATTTTTGTTTATGAGGGTTTTGCCTGCATGTAAATTCACCTATGCATGCAGTACCCATGGAAGCCAAAAGAGGGTGTCAGATCCCCTAGAACTGGAACTGAACTCAGGTCCTCTGCAAGAACAGCCACTGCTCTCAACTGATGAGCCGTCTCACCCAGCCCCACTTTGCCAAGATTTATGTGAGAACCTCGATGCTCCCAAGCCCCACGTTAGCAGGGCAGGTAGCTGGGCAGCCACTAGCCCACTCCCAGCTACACAGCATCTCTTATCAGAACAGTGCCCCACCCAAGGTGCCCATCACTCCCCCAGCCTGCTTTATGTCTCCTTTCATGTCCTCAGGAGGTGCCCAACTGGCTCCTCTCTCCTCACTTTTTTCCCTTCTCCCAGGGTGCTTTGCATTCAATTGTTGTGACCCTTTGTGCAGCTTCCTTCCCAGGATGACTAGGTAATTTGTTTCTTGGTGAGAGGGATGCTGTTAGTAGACCCAAACACAGTCTCACTTGTCAAGGTACCTGTATGGCTCCCCAGGAACCCAGAGTGAGTGACCAGACAATGGTTTTTGACTGGGACAAACGTGATACTACACAGAACGTTGTATCTTTCCATCCATTTCGTTGATTTGACAGCTGTGAAGAAGCTGGCCTTCTCCCCCTGCCTTGCCTACTTACCCTCCTTATACTCACCTGCCCAGGGATGGCACTGCCCACAGTGGACTATGCCCTCCAGCATCCATTACCAATTAGGAAAATGCTCCACAGACATGCGACAGGCTAGTTAGATTGAGGAAATTCTTCAGCTGAGGCTTCTTCCTCTTCCAGGTATTTCTAGCTAGTGTCAAGTTGCCACAAAGTAACCAGCACAGGGCTTGCAGTCTTGTAGCTTCAGTAAGAGACAAGTGCCCTGCAAGGTTCTGAGCATGGCTCTGCATTTTCTTCTTGAGGACATACTGGCTATTCAGTTCCGGTTCCGCAGGGTTACTGTTATGTTTAGCTGTGACATGGGGCCTGGTGTCCAATGTGTGCTCTGATATTGTTATGGTAATGTTGCTGACACATGTTCCTATAGCTGAGATTCTTTCAGCCTGAGCCTGTGCTTGCTCACCTGTGGTCTGCAGGTAGAGTCAGGATGGCCAGGGTGCATGCTGCAGTTACTTGACTGTGCTACCTGCTTTTGCTGTGCAGAAAAGTTGTCAAACAGCAACAGCCTTATACAGCGCTCATGGCAAATGGTGCCTCCAGTGCACTGCTGTGGAGGTCTCCACTTGGAACTGCTACCTTCATTTATCTCCAGTCCATTTTCTCCTCCAGTTCTAGTTACTCGTCTGATGCTCTGGACTTTGAGGCTGAGCACAAGTTGGATCCTGTGTTTGATTCCCCGAGGATGTCCCGCCGTAGTTTGCGTCTGATTGCAACAACATACAGCAGTGGGGACAGCCAGGCTGTAGACACCCATGTCTGCACCAGCAGGGCCTCCCCCACCAGGGAGAGAGCCTCTAGGTGAGCACTGTGTGGCCTGTCTTCACAGAGCCTCAAACCTGCCTTTCCCTCTGGAATTGTGTGAGAGAGAGAGAGAGAGAGAGAGAGAGAGAGAGAGTGTGTGTGTGTGTGTGTGTGTACACACATACATCAATGGCTCTCATTATCTAAATATTTTATCTATTTCTTATTATGGCTTTTTTCTAGGAACTTTCTTTCAAACTCCCAACCCGCCACTCAGCAAAACAGCTGGTTCAGGAAGCTCAGATCTCAGTGATTTGTCTTACTGCCTTTAATTCGCTTCTCTTTCCTGCCCATCAGTCTTCAAGGCCTGCTTCATCTCTCTGAAATCTTATTAACAGTGTGTGTGTGTGTGTGTGTGTGTGTGTGTGTGTGTGTGTGTACACACATACATGCACAGATTTTATCCTCTGAAGCTAACTGAACTCATTCTGGAGTATACAAGGTGTCTGGTATCGACCTTCAGAGTAGAGCTGGTATACTAAAGTGCTTGAAATAGTGACATGGGTGGGCTTCACATGGTCACAGGCAGAAGCCACCTCATCCTGGGCTAAAGCTGAGTTACAGTGGCTTGCTGCATGTGGAGGGGGGCAGGGTCTTGCTGGACTGGCAGCTGCATTGTGATCTGTCATCAGTGATTTAGGCCTGTCTGAGACACATGTGAGCTGCGCACATACACAGGCACAGTTTGACTGTCTAGTACATATGGTGTATGCACCTTTCATGTTCCTTCACCACTGTAGCAAGCAGGATAGAAGTGCCCTGCCCCTTCCCAGAACAACCTAGAACAGTCCCCCCTTCCATGATCTGTGCTTTTCTGAGACACTGAATAGAAGTGACGCTCTCAGTTCCTTTTATTACTGCGACTGTGCTACCTGCTTTTGCTGTACAGGAAAGTTGTCGAACAGTAACAGCCTCATACAGCGCCCATGGCAGATGTGCTGGGAGGACACTGGAACTGCAGTGCCTGTCCACACTGAGTGGGACCCTACAGTACTGCTCTGCAGCCAGCCACCTAAAATGTTAGGTCTTCCCCTTCAGGGGCTAGTCAGCTCATGGCAGCTGAGAGCCAGTGACTCCACACGAAGCTTGCTGTTAGGCCACCCAGGGTCCTTCGCCTGGGAAGAGGTGACCAGGGTGACAACTGCACCCGTCTGTTAGTGCTGGCTTTTACCACTAAATCCCTGGAGGAGGCGACTCTGGTGCTAGGTGCTCCTTGTGTGTGGTCAGAGCAAGCGCAGAGGTCCTTCTGTTCACTGCCGACCCTTGCTGTGCCCATGACTCCACCTTTACTAGACTGTGAAGCAGCAGGGCACTTGTGTGTGTTTGTTTGGAAAGGGCGATGGGCTTAGGTTTATAATTCCTAACAGTTCACTACTTTTAAGTCATTTTTATTTGCTAGTTATTTTAAGTCTGAGCCATTTTTGGGTTATTGGGCCCAAGATCGTCTGAAATTATTTTGTTTTCTAGTTTTAGAGCGAAGTGAGTTTGTTTTTTTAAATATTTATTTATTTATTTTTGGTCTTTTTGAGACAGGGTTTCCCTGTAGCCCCAGCTGTCCTGGAACTCACTATATGGACCAGGCTGGCCTTGAACTCACAGAGATCTGCCTGTCTCTGCCTCCCGAGTGCTGGGATTAAAGGCATGTGCCACCACGCCCAGCAATTTTATTTTTATTTTATGTGTATAAGTGTATTTCCCGGATGTATGTAAGTGCACTCATGTCATGCAGTACCCATGGAGGGCAGAAGAGAGCATCAGGTCCCTGGAACTGGAGTTACAGACAATTGTTAGCTGCCATGTGGGTGATGAGATTTGAACCCAGGTCTTCTGCAAGAACAGCTAGTGTTCTTAACTGCTGAGCCATCTCTCCAGCCTTATGAAGCTAGTTCTTGACTTCAGCTTACAAATTCCTTTTTTAAATTGGTAGATGTTTAGATTATAGCAGAAAAGGCATAAGAAATTGGTTTGTCTTAAAATGCTGTGTATTCTCAGCCAAAAGTTTTGTGTTGGTAAAATCTAATCTTTCTGAGGCAAGTCTACAAACTTGTTTCTTACCTCTTTCTTCTTAGGACAGTGAAACAGCACAGAGCTTCAAGCAAGCCGGCTTTTAGCATCAACCACCTGTCGGGGAAGGGCACGTCCTCTAGCACCAGCCATGGTACCTCCTGCAGCCTGAGGAGTGCCACGGCATTGAGGCCTCCGGTGCTGAATGAGTCTCTGATTCGTGAGCAGACCAAAGTAGACCACTTCTGGGGTTAGTCACCAAAAACCCAGTTAGCACATGGAAAGGGGAGGGGCTGTTTCTGAGGTTGTTCTAGGAGAGGGCAGGGGCTGGTCCAGAGCTGATTTCACCAGTGCAGTTGGCTCTCTCCAGGCTGCAGCCAGAGCACTTCCATTTGCTAAGCTTGGGCAGCTTGCCAGGTGTGAGTATTGCTTACTGCAGTGTGAAAGATTGAGCAGCCCATAATCTCACAGCCATTCTAAAGTGCCTTGCTTTTGTGGGACACTTAAGTGCTGTGTAAATTCACCAGTGTGTTCTAGAAAACACTAAATATAGCCAGGGTATTTCTGAATCATTAATAAGCACTCACTACAAGCTGGGTATGGTGGCACACTCCTATAATCTCAGGACTGAGGATGCTGAGGCAGGAGGACCAGGAGCTCAAGGCCAGTCTGAGCTGTGTAGTAAGTTCAAAACCAGCCTGAGTTCCCTGAGAACCTATCTCAAAAAAACAAGCACAAAAAGGGTAAATAACTTGCTGTGAATTAATCATCACTGGAAGGCAAGGAGGCTGTACCCTGACTGAGACTGTTGTACTCCCTGCGCCCTGAGGGGACATGGTCCATATCACCTTGTCTGAGCACACAGACAAGGGTGACAAAGCTACCTGCTGAGTTCAGCTTATGTTCTGGCTGTTCTGCTGGGATCTAAGAGCCAGCTTAGTTCCAGAAATCTCCATTGCTTGACTTGAGACACCTCTACTTTGCTTAGCCACAGAGCAGTCACAGGTCCAAGACCTGCATGTTGTGACGCCTAGAGGCACTGCGTGGCTGGCCGGGCACAGGAGTGGCCTGACTGCTGATTCTCCTGTTGCTGCCCACGTGCTTGTCCTGTCAGTTGAGTGCTGCAGTGCAGCACTTTCCCCATACTGCCACCTTGGGATGACGGGAGGTGTCTGTGACTGGGATGATCCCCAATAGTGCTACAGTGTAGTGCTGGCCTGTCACCTGGCACAGCTGTACTGTTTGGGTGGCTTTGTTCTGTTCCACAGTGTAACGTGTATGTGTTTCAGGTCTTGATGATGACAGCGACCTTAAAGGTAATTACTTCCATCCTTGGCACACTTTTCAGACCAGAAGCTGTGGTTAGGTAATCTGCAGATAGTGAAATAGGTTTCATTTACTTTTTGAAAACCTCAGGTGGAAATAAAGGCACCACTCAGGGGAATGGTGACCTGGCAGGAGAGTTGGCCGCCAGCAACGGGTACACCTGTCGCGACTGCAGCATGCTGTCAGCACGGACTGACGCACTTACAGCCCACTCTGCCATCCATGGGCCCACCTCAAGGGTTTACTCCAGAGACAGGAACCCAAAACCACGTAAGTCTCCATCCTCAAAAGTTGGAAAAAGCCTTTCCCAGCACTTCCTTTCTTGTAAATACAATTGTAGGGCCAGGGATGTGGTTCATGGTAGACTGCTTGTCCAGCTCGTGCCAGGCCCTGGGTTCCATCCCCAGCACCAGAAGAAGCCACCCTTGACCACAGGTCTCAGTGTCTATACTGTTTCCAGTACAGACTTGAGTCTAAAGGAGTATATACAACTTAGCTGTCCTAGTCCTTTAAAGCCTACAGTTCTGTACTTAGTATTTTTGTACCTAGAAGTAGTTCAAATTAAGTAAATTTGGACTTTAAGTGAGCCAAAGAAATTTCCTGCTTCTGTGGTTTCCAACTCAGTGCTTCTCTGTATCACCTTAGTGCAGCACAGGTGCCTGGGGGGCTGTAGGAAGCAGCTTCCCCTGAGAGTCCGTGCTAGTAAGATAGCACTGTGACTACTCACTATGTAGTTCTAGGATGGGATGGGCACTCTGGGATGGCAACCTAGAGCCTGGCATCAAGATGGCAGCACCAGTGGACAAGGCTGAGGTAGCCAGCCTCCTGACTCCACTCGCCTAAACATGGTGGCTCAGGGGGCAGATTGGGCTGAACTGCCAGAGCTTCCTCCTGGGCCATGTCAAGAGCAGCCATAGACCCCCTTTCCAAGTTCCAGGCATGACTGATGTCCTAGGATGTGAAGCACAGGCTTGGGCCTTTGCTGCTATGAATGTTGCCCCTCCCTCTGTACACTGCCATGGGGTCCAGGTCCTGCCACATCTGGAGGTAATGGAAGGCTGGGGGCAGGCATACTCTGCCCATCCACTGCACCCTGGCTGTACCTGGCCAGGTACTCCACCAACAGTTTTTATTTTTATTTTATTTTATTTTTTTGTATTTTTATTTTTTTTTGGTCTTTTTGAGACAGTGTCTCCCTGTAGCCCCAGCTGGCCTAGAACTTACTATGTAGAGCAGACTGGCCTCGAATTCACAGAGATCTGCCTGCCTCTGCCTCCAAGTGCTGGGATTAAAGACGTGCACCACTATGCCTGGCTCCACCAACAGTTTTTAAATGAAGGACAAACACAACGCTGAGATCAGGCCTCACTGTTCTGGGTGCAGTTATTGCCGGCCTGTTCTTGTGGCCAGGGCTTCTGGTTTTCTCTACTGTGGTGTTGTCAGGGCTGTGAGCATTAATGTCACAGAGTAGAAAGGGGGAGAGGGCTGAGTCAGCCACACTGCCTTTCTCCATCACAGGATAGAGGGGCAAACTTTTATGCTTGTGCACCACCTAAGCATCTTCTCCAGTGTGCTTGCTGTGTGCACATGTGTAGACATGCTGGGAGCAGGACTTTTGTTCATGACGGCCCTTTCACTTTAACAAATATCCTTCCAGGTGCCTTTGTTAAAGGCTGGCCTCCTTACAGCCATCTATGACTGATCAGGTTCCTTTCAGTCTCCTCTTATTTTGTGGTACTGGGGATTGAACCCAGGACCTTGCACGTACCAAATATGTGCTTTGCCACCCACCACACCCTCACACTCCTTTACATTCTCGCCAGCTCTCCACAGTTTTCTTTTACTCAAGTCTTGCCCATGTGACAGAAGATGGAGTTCAGTGTTTGTCTAGAATATTGCTGGGCATTCCTCAGTAGAACCTCTGTGGTTCCTGCCCTCCAGGAAAGTTCCTGCTGGCAGGGTGCCAGGGAGCAACTTGGCCTTGGGGCTAACTGCCCCTGATTTTTGTTTCTTCAGTTTACCATTCCAGTTGGAAACTCTGTTTATCTGGACTCGAAGTCAGTGGGAAATGTATTGCTTGGGCTTGTGTTCCCAGCACCCACTGAGGTGTGTCAGGATACATAGCACACACCCACTCCATGTCACATAGCTATAAATGCTACAAGATCATGGCTTGTAGCATTTCACTCCACATGCTTAGTTAACAAGAAAAACCCTTGGGAGCTGAGCCACTGTGGGCACCAGCTGAGGTTGGGGGGCCCTCTGTGCCGTGGCCGGTGTTCTGGAGCCTCAGGCTTCTATGCATCCTCTTCATCTTGGCTTGACTCACTGGTGGAATGGCCTTCCCAGGTGGTCTCTTCCCAGGTGCCTAATTTTAAAGTTTTGCAGTTGGCTCTTCTCAAAAGTGAAACTTTGGTCGTTTGGCTTGTTGGGTGAAAATGTCTGTGTCAGAAATAATGAGTGTTCATGGTTTTCCACCAGGCGGTGTGGCTTTCTACGGGGATAGGATTTGGTGGCTGGCCAAGTCCACTTCATCGTCCTTTTCATCATTCTTAGTTCAACTTTTTCAAGTGGTTTTAATGAAGCTCAGTTATGAATCAGAAACTTACAAATTGAAAAGCTATGAGTCAAAAGATTATGAGTCAAAAAGCTATACCATAAAGAGCCATGAATCAAAAGGTACATCATTTTCCTCCCCTCCACCAAGCACTGCTTCTGAGGTGGGAAAGGCCTTTTGCTTCCAGTGCTCTGCGCTCATCTTGTGGTTATCCACGCTGCTGTCTAATGGCTGCTTTCTGTGGGTCTTCCTGGGGGAGCTTGTCAAGTGTTGCTGTGGGCCTGTGTGCAGTTCAGTTTCCTGAAAGTTGATCAGAATTTAAACGTTTTAAAAATTCATTATTGTGTATATGGTGTGGGGGTGCATGTGGAGGGCTGAGGACAACTTTGTGGAGTTGGTTCTCTCTTTCACCTTTATGTGGATTCTGAGGATTGAACTCAGGTCATTCAGGTTTGAGTGACAAGCCATCTCACCAGCCCAAATTTATAACATTTTCAATGTTTTGTCTTAAATAAAAAGTTTAAGTCTTTGGGAACTGGGGAGAGATGACTCAACAGTTAAGGCACATACTGCTTTTGCAGTAGACTTGAGTTTGGTTCCCAGCACCCATGTCAGGTGGCTCATAGCTGCCAGTAACTTCAGCTCCAGGAGATTTGATGTCCTCTTCTGGCCTCCATGGGCACTGTGTACACACCCATAATTAAAAGTCTTTTTTTAGAAAGTTGATAAACTCAACCTTTGACTTTTGGTTATTAACCCTTTAAAGCAGAACCAGAATGCACTTTAGAGTAACGTGGTCTCAGAAACCTCTTAGGCAAGGCAGAATTCACATTTGATTACTAGTGTATATTAGCAAGGTGGAGCTTTTGGATCTCCCTTGTCACCTGTGCTCACTATGCCATGGGTGCCTCAGCCTCTCTTGACACATTGGGGAGTGGTCTCTGGCCATACTAGCTTTGCAGGCTTCCTGTCCTCCAGCTGGCTGTGAACTCCCTAAGCCTCTTCTGCATGTGTTGCAGCCCATCTCGGTCACTGTGGGAGGATGACTGCCGGAGAGCTTTCCAGAGTGGACGGGGAATCCCTGTGTGAGTACGGTTTCTCTTCCATGGTGGCGCTGGTCTTGAAGAGCCCAGGCCCTATTCTAATACTGGGTCGCCAACCATAGAGAATGCACAGCCCTCTGGACCTCATGACCTCCCTGGGCAGCACAGCTTCTCCTACCCCTCAGTACTGGAGGCCGATCACCAGCAGACTACCCTGCTGTGGTGTTGGGGTGATGGTGTTTTGTGCAGCATACTGATTGGTGAGGTTTGTGAATTAACCTGTCACTCCACTCCTTGTCACCACACCCACAGGCGATGACTGTAAGGGGAAGAAGTACCTTGAGATACACACAGCCACCCACTCGCATCTGTCCCGGCCACACAGGGCAGCAGGGGCCGTGGGGCGCCTCTGCACCTACACAGGTTGTGCCTTGTACCTTGTTCTTTTGTTCAATCATATGGCAAGTGCTGCTGTGCTTGTTTGGTTTGTGTTTGTGATGCCAGGGTCATAAAGCACCATAGAAAGCAACAGATCAGCAGTGGTTTAAAATACAGAGAGTCAGCTGGGTGCAGCCTGTGATGCCAGCACTTGAGAGACTGAGGCAGAAAGATTGCAAATTCAAGGCCAGCCTAGGCTACATGGTGAGACACTGTCTCAAACAACAACAATAATTACAAACACAGAATCTCTAGGGAAACTACTTTGTAAATTTATTATGAATTAAAGGTATGACAAGCTTGGGGCTTGTTGCCACTTGTGTTAGTGTGTGTTCCTGCAGCCACTGCTTGGCCCCATGGAGTGCTCATGAGTGACTACTGTCCAGATCATGCCTGTAACTTTGCTGGCACCTAGAAAGTCAGCTGGTTTTTGTATGTTTTTTAAGCAGAGTTTCAAAAATGCTTTAGTTGGATGTGTGGTGCATGTACTTGGTAGGCAGACGCTACCACAAGTTGGTAGCAGGAGGCAGGAGGATCACCACAAGTTTGTGGCCAGCCTGCTATACATAGAGAGTTCCAGGCCAGCCTATCTAGTGAGACCCTGTCTCAGAAGACCCCCACCCCCACCCCATCCCAAATTGTCTCATAGCTATAATAAGATAAAGCAACTCTCCACTTAAAATCTTAAGCTGGGCCTGGAGAGATGGCTTAGCAGTTAAGAGCACTGACTGCTCTTGCAGAGGGCCCAAGTTTGGGTCCCAACACTCATAAGGTGGCTAACAACCATCCATAGCTCCAGTTCCAGGGGTTTCAACACCCTCTTCTGACCTTTGTGGGCATTGCATGGCATGGGCACACTTACATGCAAGAAATAACTCATACACATAAAATAAAATAATAAAATATTAGCATCTTAAGCTATACTTCCTTGAATATTTGCTGTGTTGAAAGGGCTTACCATTTTCAGGGGTGGACATGCAGATATCAAAGTCATATAAAGATATAGCTTCCAGCAATTGCTATTGAAAAAAATGGAACAAAGTTGTGAAAAACCATTTGGTTGGGCATGGCAGTGTGCACCTGCAATCACTAGTCACTTGGGAGACAGAGATGGGAGGATGAAAGTTTGAGGCCATCCTGGGCAACATAAAGAGACCTTGATTTCAAAAACAGTGGAGGTGGGAAAAGAGAGGGAGGGGCAGGGAGAGAGGGGAGGTTTCTGCTTTATATGATGGGTGGTGTTGGGTGCCCATTCACTGTGATTCTTGTCCAGGGGTACTACAGAATTTCAGTCATCTTAAACTACATTATCTTTGCCTGCATGTATGAGCACTTTCAAAACCTCTTATTGGAGGTGGTGAAGAGAGGTGACTGTATTTTTATCTCCTAAGAATGTGTGGTGATGCTGAGTATGGTGGCACCCGTTTTTAATCCCAGCACTCAGGAGGCAGAGACAGGCAGATCTCAGTGAGTTCAAGGTCAGCCTGGTCTACATAGTGTATTCCAGGCCAGCTGGGACTCCAAAAAAAAAAAAGTATGGTGATTCATGCCTAAATATCAGCACTGGAAGGCTGAGGCAGGAAGTCAGAAATTCATCATCCTTGGCTGCATAGTGAGTTTGAGGACAGTCTTGGATACACAAGCAAAACAAAAACCACAGAACCTGAGGACAGTAGGACTTCCCCAGGTGAACCACTGAGTGTCTTTCTTCTGACTTGGCACAAGGAGGGAGTTGGAGCAGCACATACTGGCAGGCCTTGCTCACCTTCTGACAGTGCCTTCTGCCCATGTCTTCTCTGCTGCAGGTGACCTCTTGGTTCGAGCGCTGCACAGGACTGGAGCTGCTGGGTGGCGTGTGGCCGAGGCGCTGTGGTCAGTGCTCTGGCTGGCCGTCACTGCTCCAGGTGATTATGTGGCTCAGTGTTGGGGCCTCATGAAACTTGGCAGCTACACCTGCAATAAGCAATGTGCAGGACCCATCTTAGGCCCCATGTGACTTGCCTGCTTTCTGTTATCCGCTAACACTATAGGCTCCCTGTGCATGATGTCCCGTTTGTCCTGTGTTGGGTGTGAGACTCCAGGCACAAACTGCAGGGCCGTGGCACTTCCCCTGTCTTGTCTGTGCATTAGCTTTGCTCACTGTTCTCCTACCAAGATGACTAGTGTCCCTGACTCCATCTTTGCACACTGCAGTTAAACCTGCTGTGACTCCCCATGGCAGGCCAGCCTTCCCAGAAACATTCCCCGGGGAAGGCAGCTCCATAAGCGCTTCCTCAGAATGTTCTTTTCTCTCACAGGAAAGGCAGCCTCTGGATCCTTCTGGTGGCTAGGCAGTGGATGGTACCAATTTGTTACTTTGATTTCTTGGCTGAATGTGTTTCTCCTTACCAGGTAAGAACCATGTCAGGGCTGGAGAGATGGCTTAGCAGTTAAGAGCACTGACTGTTCTTGCAGAGAACCCAAGTTCGATTCCCAACACCCACATGGCAGCGAACAACCATCCATAACTCCAGTTTCAGGGCATCCCACACCACCTTCTGACCTCTGCTGATGTTGCATGACATGGGCGCACTTACACACATGCAGGCAATATACTCATACACATAAAATTAAAAAAATAGTAATAAAAAGGAAGAAGCCGGGCGTGGTGGTGCAGGCCTTTAATCCCAGCACTTGGGAGGCAGTGAGTTCAAGGTTAGCCTGGTCTGCATAGTGAGTTCCAGGACAGCTGGGGCTACAGAGAGACCCTGCCTCAAAAAAAAGGGAAGAAAACCATGTCAGTATTGAATCCCATGTCAGCTTGGGGTTCTCAGTTCGTCATGAGGTTCCCGTGTCAGTGTGGGGCTCTTGTGTCAGCATGGGGTTTCCATGTCAGCATGGGGTTCTCATGTTGGTATGGGATCCCATGTTGGTATTGGATCCTGCATCAGTGTGGGATTATAAATAGCCAGTCTGTTCCAGTTACAGGCTGCTTTATAACAGTTCAGCTTACATTTGCAGTGTCTATATCAATACTTCATTTTATATTTTACATTGTGCCTTCATATTCTTGTTTAACTTTTCAAACTGAGATGGGAAAGGCAGGTGCTGTTGCTAAGCACACTAGACTTGTGTAGGGGCACCTAGCTGGAGCCAGAGGGCCTGGGCAGGCCTGGAGCCCAGATCCTCTGCTCGCGTCCTCATGCAGCTCCATGGGCACCAGCTCACCACTAGGGTGGCCCTGGGTATAGGGCCTCAGGGCCCTGGATCCTTTGCTGTGGCACAGCATAGTGCCTCACACAAGTGGCCAGTATGGTGTATAGGAAGGGCCTCTTGTGGGTGTGGGCTTTTAGATCAAATTATAGCTGGTTGTAGTATGTGCAGGGTTGTTTCTTGTAAAGTTGTCAGGAGGGAGAGTGGAAAGGTGAGCTCCTCTGTCTTTCTGAATTAAGGGTTTGCATTTCTATCCCAGGTGCCTTCGGAATATTTGCAAGTTTTTTGTCTTGCTCCTCCCATTCCTACTTTTACTAGGTAAGATGTGGTGTGGTGGCCTTGATGGCAATGTGGCAATGGTGTCTGAATTCTTCAGGGTGCCCTGCAGGGTGTGCACACATCTCCCTTCCTTTTTCAGGTGCCATTCTCTCCCTGTGGGGCCAGGGTGATTTCCTTTCACTCCTGCCTGTCCTGAACTGGACTGCTGTGCACTCAGCAGAGAGGGTAGACGATCCTGAGGGCGTGTTCCGAGCTGGCCCTTCTACCCCAAGCCCACCTCTGCAGGTAACCAGTGTGAGAGGCTTCAGTGGCACCACAAGTGCACGCTGCTCAGTGCTTTCCATGCTGCTTCTGAATGGGCGATTCAGTCTTGGGCCCTGTTTTAGGGAAAAAAAATTGTCTCCCTGTAGCCCTAACTGGCGTGGAACCCTCTTTGCCAACTAAGTTGGCTTCAATCTCACAGAGATCTGCACTACCACATCTACTCCTAGAAAATGTTTTTAAATATCAAAAAAGCAAGTTTTAGCTCCAGGTATTCTGAAATAGCTCAAAGAATGCATGTCACCCTTCAGGTTTTTCAATGAATAGCATTCTTCACTTTGTTTACATAAGCCAGAGGCACTCACAGCTTTGCATCTCACTGGTGTCTACCTGCAATCAGTCCTGCAAGAGTATCTCTCTGTTCTGACTGTGGCCTCTTGGTTCCATCCCAGATTAACTATGGGGCTTCCCAGTGGCTTCAGGAGAGTGGCATGGGACAGCAGGTGGCCTCTTTGAGTGCACAGTGTCACAACCATGGCGAGAAGCTCCAGGAACTGACAATCCTGCTTCAGAAGTTGCAGATACGGGTGGACCAGGTGGATGATGGCAGGGAAGGGCTGTCACTGTGGGTCAAGGATGTGGTTGGACAGCACCTCCAGGACATGGGCGCCACAGGGCCACCAGACGCTAAGGTAAGGCCCGGAAGTTCTGTGGTGTCTTGTTCTGCATGTTGTCCCAGCCCACATGGTGCCATTTACCAGTGCACTTCTGTCACTGTGACAAAGCCCCAATGGAAAACAAGAGACAGAGAGAGGAAGGGCTCGGACAGGAAGCAGAAAGACTAGGGAACGGGGCAAGACATACCCTTGAGAGACATCCCCAGTGTTCTACCTCCTCCCAAGAGTTACCACCACCTCCCCACAGTGCCAGCAGATCATCTGGCTATCTATGGATAGCCCTATTGGTTGAGTCAGAGCCATCCTGATCCCATTACCTCAATTGATCCACCAGCTGAGGAGCAGACCATGAACACAGAAGCCTTTAAAAAAATTTTAAATAAAATGGTGTTGCCAGGCTTGGTGGTGCACGCCTTTAATCCCTGTGCTCTGGAGGCAGAGGCAGGCGGATGTCTGTGAGCTCGAGGCCAGCCTGGTCTATATAGTGAGTTCTTTTTGGTCTTTTTGAGACAGGGTCTCCCTGTAGTCCCAGCTGACCTGGACCTCGCTATGTAGACCAGGCTAGCCTTGAACTCACAGAGATCCGCCTGCCTCTGCCTCCCGAGTGCTGCGATTAAAGGCATGTGCCACCATGCCCAACCTAACAGAAAAAATTGCTATTTTTATTTGATGTTTATGAATGTCTTGGCTTGCATATGTGTAAGTGCACTCATGTTGTACAGAGTCCACAGAGATCAGAAGAGGGTGTCAGGTCCCCTGGAACTATCCTTAGGGATGGTTCTTAAGCTGCTTTGTGGGTGTCAGGAACCAAACTCAGGTTCTCTGCAAGAGCTTAAAGGAAACTTACTATGTAGACCAGGTTGGCCTTGAACTCACAGACATCCGCCTGCCTCTTCCTTGCAAGTGCTGGGACTACAGGTATGTGCCACCACGCCTGGCTTGATTTTCTTAAATATTTAAAAATAATCTTTGATTTTAAAAGCTAATCAACCCCCCATATCTATGGTATATATAACCCATAGCCATGGTATTTTTAAAAATTTATTATTTTTCTTTTATGTGTATGCGTGTATTGCCTGCATGTACGTAAGTGCACCTGTGCTGTGCACTGCCCACGGAGGTCAGAAGAGGCTGTTGGATCCCCTAGGACTGGAGTTAGGGACAGTTGTTAGCTGCCATGTGGGTGCTGAGATTTGAATTTGGATCTTCTGTAAGAGGTCTTAACTGCTGAGCCATCTCTCCAGCCCCCAGCCAGTGTTGTTAATCGCTGAGCCATCTCTCCGGTCCGCCACAGAAGCCTTTTGAGGGGGCATTTTTTTTATCCAAACTATTACACAAATGGAATAAAAAGATTTTTTTCTTTTTGTATGATGTTGGGGATGGTTCACAGGACCTGTGCAAGTGTTCCGCTTAGCCCCAGTCCAACCATGGGAAGCTATCTTGTCTACACTCCACTCAGCTTACTTGAGGCTTTTGTTTATTGTCAGCCTCACTGAGCCCAGGAAAGCTGAGCTAGAATTAACGGTCCTGTCTCAGCCTCCTGAGGGTGGGGATGACAAGCCTGGGCCACCATGCCTGCAGTAGTCGCCTTCTGAATTAATGACCTGATTACGTGATGGGGCTCAACCTGAACAGCTGTTCTGATGGGTTCCTGCCGGTGAGGATGGACGTGCTGTGGCTTTCATATGGGTTGGAACTGATGGGAAACTAGTGTGTGGGTCTTTACCCTTTGGGCTTTACTTTAAAGCTATAAAGACCACGTTGCCCAATAGGTCTTTGAATGTGAATGGCTTGATTCCTATACAGTGTCACTAACAAGCTTTGTGTGATTTCTCTTGGGCTTGAGGCCTCCATCTAGAGAGGAGACAGTTAAGGGGCGGCACCCCTGATGGTGCTGCCATGCCGTGACTGCAGTCTGCCAGTTGTGCTCTGCCTGGCGATGCGTGCTTACTTCTGAGCATTCTCAGACATTTGTTCTACACTTTCCTTCTCAGACTGACATCATGACATCCCACCGTGACCATGAAGTACGGCTCTCGAACTTGGAAGATATTCTCAGAAAACTGATGGAAAAGTCCGAGGTTTTTATTCTTCTTGTATATGTATGTTTATGTGTGATGTATACAAGTGTGTGGGTGCATACACGGGGACCAGAGGAGATCCCTGTTGCTTTCTGCCTTTTTCCTTTGAGACCAGCTCTACCTGCTCCATGTATCTTGGCCTCGCACAGCGGTAGGGTTCCAAGAGTGTGTGCAGCCACACTCCACTTTTTACATGGGTGCTGGGGATTTGAACTCAGGTCCTCATGTTTGCACAGCAAGTGTTCCTACCCACTGAGGCATCTCCTCAGCCCTGAGGTATTTAGCCTTGACCTCATAATTAGAACTGCCCCCAAAGCAAACTGTATGTTTGTGCATGCATTTCTGTGCTTCTGCCTAGCTGCGTGGGCATAGAACCCAGGACCTCACTTGCTCAGCAAGAGCTCTAGCACTGAGTTCCAGCCCCATCCCAAAAGCAATTTTTAATTTTTTATTTTATATTTACTTTGTGTGTGCATGTAGAACTCAGAGAACAACATGCAAATTTTAATTTTTTGTTTATATTTACTTTGTGTGTACACATGTGTGTGCATGTAGAAGTCAGAGGACAACGTTCTTGCCTTTTACCATGTGTGTCCCTGGAATCGAACTTAGGTCTTCAGAATTGGCGGCAAGCACCTTTACCTGCTAAGCCATTTTGTCAGCCCCATTTGGTTTTTTGAGACAGGATTTCCCTGTAGCCCCAGCTGGCCTGGAATTTGCTATATAGAACAGGTTGACCTCAGTTTCACAGAGATCCACCTCCTCTGCCTCCCGAGTGCTGGATTAAAGGAATGCATTATTACTATGCCTGGCCCAAACAATTTTTTTAATTTTTTAATTTTAATTTTTTAAATATTTTATTATTTTTATTTTATGTGTATGCATGTATTGCCTGTATGTAGGTAAGGGCACCCATATCGTGCAGTGCCCTCAGAGGACAGAAGAGGCTGTCGGATCCCCTAGAACTAGAGTTACAGACAGTTGTTAGCTGCCGTGTGGGTGCTGGGATTCAAACCTGGTCTTCTTTAAGTGTTCTTAACCACTGAGCCATCTCTCCAGCCCCCCAAACAATTTTCTAATAAAAGAAAAAATGCAGTTAATGTTTCCTAAAGTTCCTTATTTCAGGGTATTTGCTGTTTTGTTTTATAGACCTGGCAAAGCTGTGTCCTGACTTTTGTGCTTCCCAGCCATGTTACTCTGGCTTGAACACTTGACCAGTGAGCCTCACAGAACAGAAGTGGCTCTGCTGGCTTCAGCTCCAGCCACACCCTGCTTCACAGTCCCTCTGTGCCCCTGTGTCACTCAGCCTCCACCAGAAAGCATAGAGCCTGCTTTGCACACAAATCAGTGTGGATGGGAGAGTCTTACTGTTCAGTACTTGTCAAGCGGGCATGGCACAGAGCATGTTGCTCATAGGGTCAGGGATCAGCATCCCCAGGGCACAGCATGGAGCCAGGCATGGTGTGTGCTTATGCTTACTGAGTTGATGACAGCATGTTGTACCAAGGGGTCAACATAGTGGCCCTGTGGCTTCCTGAGACCAACTCCTGCTTCCTGACTGTGGGCATCAGAGTTTACTGAGCAGGAGAAGGGTCTTCAGCTTGCCAGAACGCACTTGCACTGGGCGCTTTGTCCCTGAGCAAGCAGACCTGGATGAATCAGGAGGAGACTCAGAGCCCTGCCTAGCCCCATGTCTCTACCCAGGCATCAGAAGCAGAGGCCTCTTCCTTCAATATGTGAAGTTTTTGTTTTTAAATACTTTATTATTTTTATTTACATCTATGAGTGTATTGCCTGCATGTATGTAAGTGTACTCGTGTCATACAATGCCTGTGGAGGCCAGAAGAGGTGTGAGATCCCTCTGGAACTGAAATTACAGATGGTTTTTAGTCACCATGTGAATGCTGGGAACCGAACTCTGGCCCTCGGCAAGAGTATCCAGTGTTCTTAACCTCTGAGCCATCTCTCCAGCCCTCAATATGTGAAGTTTTCAGTTACTCAGACATGACTTTATGAAGTTAGTACATGACTGTTTAAACAGTCTCTCCTCTTCGCAGGCTATTCAGAAGGAGCTGGAAGGAACCAAGTTGAAAGCAAGCAGGTAGGTGACTTCAGGGGCCCTGCATTTGTCTCCCATGGTACTCTGCTCTCTCGAGCACGTTGATGTTGCTGAAGTTCACATTACCATGCACCACTTGAAGTACTGACCCTTAAGTGTCTTTCTGGGTGTCCCTTCAGGGTCATGCAAGGGACAGAAGGCCTGGAGGGACTTGTGATCTCTCTCCAGGCAACGTGGATAGGCCCCTGCTTCATCACGGGGTGCCTCAACACCAGTGTCCTTGGGAGACCCTGCCCCTCCCTCAGGAGCCCCTATGTCCTTGTTCCCCATTGGTGTCTCAGAGGACCCTTCCTTAAGACCCGGCAGTATTCAGTGGCTTCCAGCCTTTCTGCACCTGAAGATGGTGGCTGAGCCCCATCCTCACCACCTACACAGCTCTGGTCCCGCAGTGGCAGTGCTTGTTCAGTCTCCTGCTGGCTTTCTTCCTCATGTCCGCAGCACTGCATCTTCCTCACACAGCCTGGGTGTGTATGTGCCAGCCTTCGTAGTTTCCATGGCTGGACGTGGCCGGGTAGTGTTCCTCACTGGTTAATGGGCACCTGGCATTCTTCCAGCCTCATCCTGGATGCTGTGTGGGTGGTGGGAGTGTGGCGCACACTGTCCTTCCTGACAGTGTGGTTTCAGTGGACGTTGACTTCACATATGGACATCCAGCTCCAGAGTGCTTATTTGAAGAGTCCTGGTTGAACCAGGCTGTTTGGTGTTCCTCTCAGCTCTGCATTAGTGTTTGAGCTCACAGCCTTTTCCTGAGGTCAGATCACCGACTAGGTGCTGACCTCCTCTTCAGTGCCATTGTCCATCCCATGAGCATGGAGATGCAGATCTAGCCTGGGGCTGTGGGTGGGCACAGCTCCTTTCCAAAGTTGTTGTTTTTTTTTTTTTTTTTCTTTTTGGTAATTTTGAGCACACAGGCCTGGTTCCTTGTTTGGGTTGAGTGATTCCTCTGAATGATCCTGGACTTTGACTCCTTTCTCCCTCTTTTGTTGCTGGCTTCTAGCATGGCTGAGGAGCACCCCCTCCTGGACCGTGTGCAGCACCTGGAGCTGGAGCTGAGCCTGCTGAAGTCGCAGCTGTCAGACTGGCAGCATCTGAGAGCTACCTGTGAGCAGGTAGGTGCTGGTGTGGGGCAGGCTGATGGCTGCGTCCTGCCCTGTGCTTTCTGATTATGGTAGAAGAACCTGGGTGTGTATGTATTTGTGCTGCCTTCAAAACTTTTTTTTTTTGTCTTTTTGAGACATGGTCTCCCTGTAGCCCCAGCTGTCCTGGAACTCACTATGTAGACCACACTGGCCTCAAACTCACAAATATCTGCCTGCCTCTGCCTCTCAAGTGCTGGGATTTAAGGCGTGTGCCACCACGCCTGGCCTACCTTCAAAACTTTTTTTAAAAAGATTTTTGTATGTGAGTGTCCACTTGTATGTGTGTGGGTACAGGTGTGTGTGTGCATGAAGACCTGAGAGTGCACATGTATGTGTGCAGGTATTGTGCGTGCAGATGTGTGCATGGAGTCCAGAAAAGTCTGAGCATGTATGTTTAGATACAGGTATGTGCATGGGTGCTGGTATGTGCATAGAAGTCAGAAGATGGCATCTAATGCCCTCTTCCATGTGCAGCCAGCAAACCCCAGCCATCCTCCTGTCTTGGCTCACCCATGGAGTGAGAATTACAGGAGTTTGTGGGAACGTCTAGCTTGCTGCATAGTCACTGGATCCAAACTCTGGTCCTCATGATCGCAGAGCATATGCTCCTAACTAAACTGTCTTTCCAGCTCCACCTTTTTGAAAATTATATTTTAAAAATTTGTGTTGTTTGTGTTCTGTGTGCTTGAGTGTGTAGGTATGTGCCATGGTCTGTCCACATGTGGGGGTCAGAGAACAACTTTTGTGAGAGTTGGTTTTTTCTTTCCACCATGTAGATTGGAGATGGAACTTGGGTCAACAGGCTTGGCAGCTGGTGCATTTACCTGCTGAGCCATCTTACCAACCCACCTATTTTTTTTTAACTGTATTTTAAGAGTTACTCTGATTTTGAGGTGCTAGAGATGAACCTAAAATCTCACACCAGCCAGGCAAGCACTCTCCCATTAAGCTGTACCCCACCCTACACTTGAAGGATGTAAACATTTCCAAGTCATACACTGATGGTCTTTGAGTGTCCCCAACCCAGTGTCATAGCCCACCTGCATCTAGGCACACTCCGTGTAGTGTGACTCACACTTATTAGAGGTTTTGAATGTGTCACCTCAGTTGTCCACCACTTTCCCATTTCACAATGTCAGGGACCTTACTGGGCCCATGATCCTCAGGCCTGCTGGGAATGGGAACGTCTGATTGACAGACATCCTTCCAATCACAGACCATAGATTAGAGTATCAGTCTGTGACACACCTGGTAAATTGTCTCTGCAAAGAACTGCCTGAGCAGGTGGTAGAGATGGGAGGGGAAAGAAGATATGTGACCAGGGAGCTGGCTTCTGTTTGCTGGTTCAAATGCACAGATCCCCGCACCACCACTAGGAAGGGGTGATGCCTGCCATGGGTTGCTGGCAGGCCTGCCACCTCTGCTGTACCTAGTTCCAGATACATTCTGGGGAAAGTCTCACACAAACTGGCAGAGTAGAGGCTAGAGCGAATGAGCAAGGATGAGTTGAGGGTACAGAGCCCTGTGGTCCCTGTGGTGGGCTAGCACTTTGTGCTTTGCCCATGGTTTGCCCCATACTTGTTTCCTTGGGAAGCAACAGCAGTTTGTGTATGATTCATGAGGGCCCAGTCTGTCTGTCAGGTCCCATCCTAGGCTGTGTGTAAAGAGCATTGAGGATAAAACCTGCCTGTGCTGCCGCTGTGGGATTGCCCAACAGGAGCTGCCAAGGTCCAGCCCTGCCCTCACCTCTACCTGTGCCTCAGTTGTAGAGTTGCATGGTAGGAGCTGCCGAGTGGATACAGTGGGGAGCGGGAAACCTACACACGCTTGTTTCTTCAGTCCCTCCATGTAAATGGCCTTCACGCCATGCCTGGGTCTGTTCCCATTCTTTTTATTTGTTTTTAATTTGTAATCATTGGTTGGTTTTTTTTTTTTTGTTTGGTTTTTTTTTTTTTGCCTTTTTGAGACAGGATCTCCCTGCAGCCTCAGCTGACCTGGAACGCTGCCTCCCGAGTGCTGGGACTACAGGCATGCGTAGCTGAATGAAACAGAAACATTTTCCGATGATGACACATAAAAGTTTTAACTCCTAGACATACATAGCAATACTAACTTTTTATGTGTGTGCGTGTATTGCCTGCATGTAGGTAAGTGCACCCGTGTTGTGCAGTCCCTGCAGGGGACAGAAGAGTTTGTCAGATCCCCTGGAACTGGAGTTACGGACAGTTGTTAGCTGCCATGTGGGTGCTGGGATTCAAACCTGGGTCTTGTGCAAGAACAACCAGTGTTCTTAACCGCTGAGCTATCTCTTCAGCCTTTGTTCCCATTCTCTTTACCTTCAAAGGGTTCTAGCAGTTTTGGAGGGGTTCCCAAATTCAACCCGAAGGGGGCAGTTGTATCACAGCTGAGCCTGCATCTTTTAGATGATGTCTGAGGTCCCTGAGGTGCAGTGGGTGGTTCACTGCTGCAGGGTAGCATGCTCACCCATCTTTTCTGCTGTCCTGCAGGCCCATGATCGCATCCAAGAAACTGTGCGGCTCATGTTCTCCGAGGAACAGCAGGGCGGCTCCCTTGAGTGGCTGCTCCAAAAGCTTTCGTCTTGGTTTGTGAGCAAGGCTGAGCTGCAGGTACTGCTGCGTGACCTTGAGCTGAGAGTGCTGCAGAACATCACTCATCACATTGCAGTGACAGGCCTTCCGCCTACATCTGAGGCCATCATGTCTGCTGTGAACGAGGCTGGGATTTCAGGAATCACAGAAGCGGTGAGCAGGGGAGGAGACAGGCTCAGCCCCCACCATGGAGACCAGTTATCCTGGTGGGGTCAGACTGGCAGGCTGTGACCCGAGGACAGTGCTGTTGTCACACGGAACATTTCTTAGCTCTGCTCTCGCTGAATCCTTCTGTCTCATGGGGTCCTCTACACCTGGGCTACAGGTTTCCAGCTGTGCACAGTGTCCCTTGGTTACTGAGGTCCAGCCCTGTTTCACTCATGAGGGTGATACGCAGTATATCCTTGCTCTGGTGTCCGCTCTGATCTGTCACACCCTAATGAAAGGTTGGCCCCATCCCACCCGTTGACCAGCTCAGGTGCAGGACTGAAGGGCTTAGTGGCTGAAGCATGGCATGCCTGTCACCCAGGTGTACAAGGTCCTTGGCCTTTGTTTGCATCTCTAACCCTCATTATTCTTTCTCCTGGGCCATCAGCAAGCACGCCTCATCGTGGACAATGCTCTGAAGCTGTACTCCCAAGACAAGACTGGAATGGTGGATTTTGCTTTGGAATCCGGAGGTAAGTAACTAGACAAGGTAAGTGCCTGGGGCCAGACTGGGAACTGTCTTACCAGTCTGACATTAGAATTTTATTTTGAATGAGGCCTGAGTACTCTTTCTTCCTGGTCAGTTGCCCATTGGAGTGATTTGAGCTGGCCTGCACACTTCCAGGTACCACCCAGGCTGGCTTGAGTGTTGTGACGAAGCTGCATGCACAGCAGAACAGGGGTTACCTTGGTTCCCCACAACATGATCTTTTCCAGTGGGAGGTCATAACCAGACCCCCATATTCCCTGTAATGGGTTTGGAACCATTCACCTGGGTATGGTAGGTGAGCTCTCTGCAGAGATGTGGGAATGCGGGTAATTGCTAGAATGGCTTGGCAATTCAGAGATGGCTCTACCACTGGAGGCTATGCAGAATTGGTATTTTTCTGAAGTTTTTTAAATGTAGGAATTTCAGGTAAGGGCTAATAGACTGAGACTGTCCCTTGGGAGATGAGCAGCTTTTAGACCCCAGGGCCTTGTGGTTGGCTGGGGGCCTGCAAGGAGCACTAGTTTTAGGCCACAATTGGCTGAGGCAGCAGGTCCCAACTTCAGCAGCTTGTGTTAGGATACTAGAAAATGTGGCCCTGTCATTGCTGGGGTCCCAGTACAGTGTGAACTTGGCTTCTCAGGTCCGGGGTGGAGTCAGCAGGGCTCTCACTCTGCCAAGGAATGTTTTGTCAAAGTGACCATTTAAATGATTTTAGTTCTACATTTTGAAATAAGTGACTTAGGAAGATTTTTTTTTTTTTTTTTTTTTTTGGTGTTTTTGAGACAGGGTTTCCCTGTAGCCCCAACTGGCCTGGAACTCACTATACTCACTATATAGACCAGTCTGGCCTTGAACTCACAGAGATCTACCTGCCTCTGCCTCCCATATATAGTATTTTAACCTTGCTTTAGGCCAACAGTTGACATTTGTTCTCATGGCCATGTTGGTCCTTGTGGATTTGTGACATCAGCTTAGACCCACAGCTTCATGAGGCTGCACCGACAGCTGTTAAGATGTTGTTAGAGTCAGGACAGAATGGGTAACAGCTAGACCAGGGTTCAGAGACTTAGGTCTCCATCTGAGGCATCAGCATCCTCTACAGTGGTCAGAAAACACAGAAGGGAGGCTGACTGAAGGAGACATGCTAAATGAGTGCTCTGAGGCCTGAGACTTACAGTCACATGGAATGGCCATTGCTCCTTGGAACAGAGGTCATGGGACGTCTCATGTCTTTCTTCTTGTTGGCAGTGTTGTCCTATCTGCCTGTTCCTATGGAGGGGGAGAGGGTTTCATTTTACCTGTCTTCTTTACAATCACTGACCTAGAGTTCCCTAACACTGCCACCTGGAGGGTGAGCCCAGTGGTGGCCAGCAGCACAGTGCCGTTATACAAGTAGTCACCCCACTCCCTGTGCCTGTCAAGTGCCTATGAAAGCCAAGTAATCCCAGTGCTTATGCCATTCTTTTTTTTTTTTTCAATATTTTTATTTTATATGTGTGAGTGTATTGCCTGCATGTATATAAATGCACAGGTGTCACACAATGCCCATGGAGGTCAGAAGAGGGCATCAGGTCCCCTAGAACTGGAGTTAATGGACGGTTGTTAGCTGCCATGTGGGTGCTGGGCCCCAAACCCGAGTCCCGTGGAAGAGTAGCCAGTGCTCTTAACTGCTGAGCCATCTCTCCAGCCCCTACAGTTCTTGATCTTTAGGAAAATATGAACAAAACTCAGAGCCATTGTCCTTAGTTGTATACACTCTCACACTGTTGTGTGGTTAAGACAAATTGATGTGAAAGGCGGCCATCGACCTGACAGGAGTAAGAAGTGTGCCCGTGCAGTGGGTGACGTGGGGTCATTGGGGGCTGCAGAGCTTAGACTGCTGGAAGGAAGGTTTCTGGGTTTGCACTGTGAGGCAGGGAGTACTTGTGTGTTGGCATCACAGATATGTGCTTTGTTTTTATGTATCAGTTAAAAAATGAACCCAGGGGAGATGGCTCAGTGTCAAAGTGCTTGCTTTGCAAACAGCAAGTGTGAGGACCAAGGTTCAGGTCCCCAGAACCCACATAAATTTCAGGCAATCCACCTGTAATTCCAGCATTTGGAAGGTGGAGACAGGAACACCAGAGCAAGCTGGCTAGTTAGACTGTCCATGTGTACGTGCTCTGGGTTTGGTGGAGAAACCCTGCCCTGATGAATAAGGGGGAGAGTGATCGAGGATGAAGCCCAGCATCTTACACAGATGTACCTGAATACACCTACACATACATTCATGCTATATACACATGAAAAAGAAAAATAATTCAGTTTTTAACAAGTATAGGGCTGGTAGAGGCCAGGGTTCTTTCCACGGAATGCTAGAGCCCGTGAAGCACACTGCTGGCTTCAGGTCTTAGTCCCTTGTGGTATGCCCAGGCATGGAGACAACTGTCCCTGTGTTCCAGGTGGCAGCATCCTGAGCACTCGCTGCTCTGAGACCTATGAGACCAAGACGGCGCTGCTGAGCCTGTTTGGGATCCCGCTTTGGTACTTCTCACAGTCACCCCGGGTGGTGATCCAGGTGAGTGCTCCGAGTGGCCACTCTGTATTGTCTTGGCCTCTCATGAAGGTAAAGTAGGATTCTAGCCATGGTGTGTAGCTCAGCTGGGAGGACAGAAGAGTAGGCTGTGGTCACCTGCTCCACTCCAGGTTCACCTCTGACTGTGGGCCTGTACTGTTGGGTTGTGGTGCATGATTGTAACATGACATGCAGCCTTACCAGCCTGCTAGAGAGATTCTGCTGGCCTAGAGGCTGCTGTCTCCCATGGCTGCCTGGTCCTGCCATGAGATTGGGAAAGTTGGAAGTGTGTGTCATTGGAGGGGCCAGGAGGGCCATCCTGGTGGCTTTCTCCTGGTGTTGCCGTGCACCCTGGCTGACTGGAAGCTGTGTGAGTGCGTGCCCGTCCCCCCGTCCGTGTGTTGCCTCTATGTCCATGTGTGTGTGTCCGTGTGTGTCCTGGCCCATGATGGCCACCTTACCTGCACTGCCACTTGCCCTCATGGACTGACTGTAGCGCTAATTGAGTTTACCCTTCCTGAGGCTCTGAGGTTTCACTGGTAATGGGTTTTTGCACACCTCATTCACTTGAACACAGATAGTAGAATTTTCATGTTTTCTTCAAAAAATGTGAAAACTAGATTTTCAGCTTTTTAAAAAAATATGTTTAAAAATTTTTTGTTTTATGTGTAAGTGCACTCATGTCATGCAGTGCCCATGGAAGTCAGAAGGTGTCAGATCCCCTGGAACTGGAGTTATGGGTGGTTGTTAGCTGCCATGTGGATACTGGGAATCGAACCTGGGTCCTCTACAAGAGCAGTCAGTGCTCTTCACTGCTGAGCCATCTCTCCAGCCCCAATTTTCAGCTCTTAATTTCCTGCTCATAGGAGTGTTAAACAGCATCATCAGTGTGTGCCTAGTAGACAGTGTGGTATGGGCAGGTCTCAGTACCACCCCCCAAATGCTGTTCACTGTCCTTGGGTTTTCATGGAGGCCTTGCTAAGGGGCACATGGGCTTATCGTTGCCAGCAGCCCCTCTGCTTTTCCTGGGACTCAGAGGCCCAGTTCTGTGATCCCAGTTTGGTTCTAGTAACAAGTCCTATTCTGAGGCACCTTGGCCTTCAGCTGGCTCAGTACCAAACATATCACCTGATAGACATTACCAAGGTCTTAGCTATTTTCTAAGAAATCGCAGACCTCCCCAACCCCCAGTTCTACCTGGTTGTCTTCGACTTTGTGAGGTGGGCAGGTCTTCAGGGTGGAGGAACAACCTGTTCCCTCTGCACCTGAAGGCTGTGGTCGTCTTCTCAGCTCTGGTTTCCTTAGCTGTCAGAGACATGGGGTCACCAGTGACTTGACACACAAGCATCTAGATGCTTCTGCTTTTCTCCCAACGGTTTGCACTGTGTATAAACAGCCTTATTTCCATTTTCTGTGGTGAGTTTCTCCCTGCTGAATTGTGCCGTTCTCTTCCTAGCCTGATATCTACCCAGGAAACTGCTGGGCCTTCAAAGGCTCCCAGGGGTACCTGGTGGTACGGCTGTCCATGAGGATCTACCCAACCACGTTCACCATGGAGCACATTCCAAAGACACTGTCACCCACTGGTAACATCTCCAGTGCCCCCCGGGACTTCGCAGTCTATGTGAGTGTACCAGCTGAGGCTTCCTAGAAACAGCTTCTTCTCCACTGTGCCAGGAGTCTCCCCAGTTTGAAGGCTAGTTGCTAGAGTGTATTTCCTGGGTAGCTCTTGTCCCACTCCTCCATCTTCCCCAAGTCAGTGCCGACAGGGCCACATACAGGTAGCATGGCACTCAGTGTCCAAGTTGTTCATGTGTCCTGATAGCAGACCAGGCCTTGCCTGACTTTGAGAACTGTATTCATCACCTTCATCTGTTCACTTTATGAGGAATGCTCTGATAACTATGAGGTGTCAAAGTAATGGTAAAAGATAAAACACATTTTCTTTTTGCAGTGCTGAGGATGGAACCCAGGGCCTTGTGCATGATGGTAGGCAGGTACTCTACCAGTGAGCCACACTCCCAGCCCCTCACTGGGTGATTCAAAGTGAGGGCTCTACTGAGCTACACCCTGGCCCTTGTTTTAAGATTTATGTATGTGTGTTGTATGTGTATGCTTCTGTGTGCTCATAGTGGCCAGAGAGACTGTCGGATCCTTTGGAGCTATAGTTAGAGGCAGCCAACTGACATGGGTGCTAGGAACCTAAGCCAGGTCCTCTCAAGAGCAGCCAGTGCTCTTTACCACTGTACCATCTCTCTAGTCCCAAGCCCTTGATTTTTTTGAATGGTCTATACGTATGCTCCCAAAGACAGGGCTAAGGCCCTCAAGGTGTTGAGCACACTGCTCTCTGAAGCTGTGGGAAGCTATGTGTCTCTCTTGCAGCTTTTCTAATTTACCACTTTTATTAGCCAAATATCACTATCAGTCCTATTTCAGTGTCTGTTTTATAGTTCCATTTGCTGGTTGCTTGTGAATCCCTTTCCTGTTACGAATTGGCAAATAAAGTCCCTTACATTTCCTATGACGTGGAACCATCCATGTTAAGTATTTCTTAGTGACACTGGCTAGAGTGGTCAGCCTGTTGCTCAGCCCTCACCACCATCTATCCTCAGAACCGCCCCCACTTTCCACACCAGAGCTCCCCTCCATTCCAGCCCACCTGCTGCCCTCATCCTGCTCTCTGTTGCTCAGGGTACCCACAATACACACAACTCTCAAGGCATCTGGGCTGTGAGGGTGCTGAGTGTGGCCAGTGCAGCCATGAGCTGGCTTTCTGTCGGCTGCCTGTCTCCCTATTGGAAGCAACCACACCTGCCCCTTGGGTGTTTATGGTTAACAGGAAGCTGGTAACTATGCACCCTGACCTGTTCTCTTCACTGTTACCCTGTGATCCTTCCAGGGATTGGACACTGAGTATCAGGAAGAAGGGCAGCCTCTGGGACAGTTCACCTACGACCAGGAAGGGGACTCACTGCAGATGTTCTACACACTGGTGAGCAAGTGGTCCCACCTCCCTCATGCCTCTGTGGGACCAAGTTCTGTGCCTTTGTAAGGAGCCAAACCCATCAGTCAGCCTGTGCTGTCACCAGCAGTGTTTGAGACCCAACTACTCAGGCGGCTTGTGTGGGGCATAGCTGAATCCTGTTACATGTCCCAAAGGGGTAAGGGGTGGGCTCAGGCTGCTAATCTGAAATAACTTATTCCCTTGACTTCAGGAAAGACCTGACCGAGCCTTTCAGATTGTGGAGCTCCGAATCCTGTCCAACTGGGGCCATCCCGAGTACACCTGCCTCTACCGGTTCAGAGTCCATGGAGAGCCCAGCCAGTAGTGCACACCCAGCCTTGTACATGTCTGTATATACCAGGATGCCAGATACTGGAACCCTTAGGGAGAGAGCACAAGAACACAGGAACCCGTGACCCCTCAATAAATGACACGGCCAAGGACCCATGTTGAGTCCTCTGAAGCTGTGCGTGTGTGCTCAGAGCCCCACAGTGTGGCAGGGTCTGCAGCTCCATTTGAATATATGGTTCTCAATCACTTCCTTTGTTGTGGGGGTTTGCTTAAGAACATAAAGAAGCCAAACAGATGGGCTGGCAGGATCTTGGCTCTTGATGCTTGGAGGCTGAACCCTGCCCTGCTTTGTCCTCTATACATCAGGACAAAAGTCTGTTCCATTGCTAGACCACATTTCTTTCAGGGAAAACCATCGTCCCCTTTTCAGCCTGACTCCTTTAGGTCCCCAGGTGGGGCAGGGCTAGGTGTGTCCTGGGCTGTTACTTCTAGCTGGGACCTGCAGTACTGATAACCCATAGGACATGGAGTGGGCTTTTGCCAAGGGAAGGAATAACCTGAAAAGACGTGATCCAGAAGGGCAGTTCGGGTCCATGCACATGTGAATGGAACTCTCAGGTCTTGGGCTAGGCTGTTCCTCTTCGGATTCACAGTAGGGACAGGAACCAAGAAATAAAACCCCCAATATCCTCAAGCTGTGTTGGGCTCTGCTGAAGGAGGAACACTAAGGTGCCACACTGCAGGTGGTTCTGATGATGTCACTTGTTCTTTCCCATAGCATATCTGCTCTTAGGTATGCCTCTGTACCACACTGTTGGTCCGTCTCACCTAACTCAATTTGGTTATAATTAATATTTAGACTATTTTATGAGCAGACTTTGTAACTGATATGTCTTCTGGGCACTTGAAATGTTCAGATGTTTTACCTAAAGAATTGTTGTGTTTCATTGGTTAAGACAGCCCTAGTGGAGCACAGGCTCGATCTGTCCCGGGGCTTTGGGTTCTGAGGTTTTGTGCATGTTGCACAGTCTTTGAGGGCAGTGGCTGGAAGCAGCATGTTCCTACTCCCTGTTGGAGCCACTGCCTAGACAGGCAGGTTGGGTCACATGCACACATACTGCAGGTTACACACAGAAGTCAAAATTTCCTATATTAAACTAAGTTTGGGAGTTGGGGTGGAGATATTTTGAGTATTTATTTTTAAAGATGCAAGATAGGACTTTGTGCAATGTATTTTTGTAAATGTTTCTCAGAATATTTGTCTCTGGCAGTGCTTCTGCCTCCAAATTAAGATGCTGTTGGGATGTGGACATAAAAGTTTTAATTTTTAAAAGTGCATGTGACACCAAGTGAATAATAAAAGTGTATTTCTTTTCTCAGCTTGGTTTGTCGGACTGCTAGGTTTGTGTGCTCAGTCTGCTGGGTCCTGTGGACACTGGCACAGTCTTCCAGAGCTTCTGTCCTCTTCCTGGTTAAGGGAGTCCACTCTGCTCAGACAGTGGGCAGAGACTTCAGGTCTGGGTGTGATTAATTGTGGGGCCCTTGCAGAGCCAAACACAGGGCCCTGGGCTCCATTTTCCAGAGCACCCTGCCACCACAGCCTATTAGATGTATTTTGTCATAAAGAACTTTTTTTTTTTTTTTTTGGTCTTTTTGAGACAGGGTCTCCCTGTAGCTCAGAGCTGTCCTGGAACTCACTATGTAGACCAGGCTGGCCTTGAACTCACAGAGATCTGCCTCCCGAGTGCTGGGATTAAATTTTTTTTTTTTTTTTAAATAGTAGGCCTGTTACCCAGGCATTGCTTTCTCCTGCCCCAGGTTCCTGCTGTCATTTGGAATCTAAAAAGATTAGAGAATTCCAGAAACAATTTCAACTATTGTACCTTTCTACTGCATCCAGATTTATCCAGATGAGTCATCCCTCTTGGCACATCCATGCTGTATATACTGTGTGATCCTCTGTCACTAGCAGGTGTCTGGGTCATCAAACTGTCCTGGCGTCACACTAATGTGCTCAAGTGACCTTTATGTGGTGTTGCCCACAGGGCATCTGTCATCTCAGAAGAGTGAACATGAATTGGATGTTTACCATGCTTAAGCTAAAGCAAGTAGTCATGCTGGTGTGTGCATACAACACAGGTCCAGCGGGATATGGGAGTGTGTGCCTGTAACTAAATACTAGGAAGGTTGTAGGAGGATCACGAGATCCTGTCTCAAAAGATGAAGGCCTGGCGTGTATAGCTCAGTTATCTAGCAAACATTTGCCCTGAATTTTATCTCCAGCACGGCAAAAACTAAATTCCGTGTAAGATTCCGTAACTTGAATCTTGAATACCATCAGGAAGTCCCTCTAACCATGGCCAGGCCTCCCCTTCCCCGCTTTCATATGCTCTAACAATGACTGGGCCCCCTTGTCTCCACCCATTCTAGCATGAGCAGGAGGCCCAGTCCCCACTGTCGCCCTTTGCCGCCTAGAGCTGCACTCCGGGGCAGGTGTGAGGTAGGAACTCGAGAAGGTCCTAAAATGCGTCTGGTTCAACCACATGACCACGGCAACTTCAAGGGCGCTGAAGCAGTGGCCGCCAGGTCTCAAAGGCCTACCTTCGGCAGCTATAGAGGCAACTGGCGTTGGGCAGGGAGCAGCGTCCAGCCTCAGACTGGCCACGCCCACGCCCACGTAATTCCTCCCCGGGCGCATGGCGGCTCGCAGGCTCCGCCGTTTTCGTAGGCCCGCTCAGGGCACATGGCGGGCCGCAGGCCCCGCCCTGTTCTCGTAGGTCCTCCCACGCGCGCGTGGTGGCTCACAGGTTCCGTCCTGCCCACGTAGCCTCGTTCTAATTCTCTGGGCTGCCGGCAGGCTCTGTTCACTTAGCCCTGCACAGGACATATGGAGGCCCGCCTGGCCCCGCCCACGAGTACAAGGCGACCCGCAGGCCCCGCCCTGCCTTAGTGACCTCACTCGCAGGGCTGCCCACAGGTCTGGCACCGTTTCCGTAGTCGCGCCCACGAGCACATGGCGGCCGGAAAACTCCGCCTTGGTTACGTAGCCCGCTCCACGCTCAGAGGGCCTCCGGCAGACCAGCCAGGGGCGTGACGTTGTCCCTCTTACGCGGGTGCCACCAGACTCCACCGCCCCTTCTCTAGTCACGTGCGTCCCGCGGCGCGCCCCTCTTCGTGCGGCTCCTCGCGGCCACCGTAGAGGGCGTGGGGCGGCCGCGGGGACGGAAGCCGGGAGGCGCCGCCGACCGCGCCTGCGACACCGTCAGCCCTGCGCGGAGCGCCGGCCCATGGCGGCGGCGGCGGCGATGGCGGAGCAGGAGGGCGCCCGAAATGGTGCCCGCAACCGCGGGGGTGTCCAGCGCGTGGAGGGCAAGCTCCGTGCCAGCGTCGAGAAGGGCGAATACTACGAGGCACACCAGATGTACCGGACCCTCTTCTTCAGGTGGGCGCGGGCGGTGGCTTGCCGCCGGGGCCCCGCCCCCTCCGCTACCCATTGGCCGTCCCGCGGCGCCCCGCACCTTCATTGGTCCACGCGACTGCCTGTCTCAGGCGGCCGTAGTGGGGGCGGCGGGCGGCGGGCTCAGACTACCGGGCTGGGCCTCAGCTTCTCCGCCCGGCCTTCTCTTTCCCGGCCTTCTCCTTTTCTCAGCTTCGCCTTCTTAGGACCTTGAACTCTCTCCCGGTCTGGCCTCCCCTTCCCAGACCTCATTCCGCAGCCAACCTCTCCTCAGGCTTCCCCGATCCCGGGCCCAGCCTTCCCTGACCGCCCCTTTGCTGTTCCCTAGGCTTCCTTTCGCCTCTCCTTCCCTGGGCCCAGCCTTATTCCATGGCCTTCCCTTTACTTAATCGCCCTCGGCCGCCTCCTTTACTGGCCTCTCCTTCCCGCCAGTCTGTCTTCTTTCCTAACCCACTCCACGCCTGGCTTCCCTTCCCCAGAGCCTCCCGCTGATAGATCTGGTATCAGAGCAGCTTCTCCGGGCCCTCCTTTCTGTGGCCAGTGATTGGAGGATGCAACCAGCTCAAGTGTGGTGGGGTGCTGACCCAGTGGGCCAGGCCCTGTCCACGTGCAGTGCTCCTTCCAGGCTCCGTGGCTGGGCCTGGGTAATCTACCTGCTGATAATCTCTAGTTCAACCTTTACTTATAACTGTAGGACAGCCGCATCATTGCTCCGTGTCCATGGTGTGGGTTTGGCCTTTGCGCCCTTCAGACTTACTTTCCTTTTTTTTTAATAGGCTTTATTTCTTACGGTAGTTTTAGGTTCACAGTGAAATGAGTGGAAAGTCGGTTCCCTGTGTCTGCCAAGAGGCACCATGCCAGTGGGACCCTGTGCAAGTGGAATGGCTCTCAAAATCAACACCCCTTCCAGGTTGACGCTGGCATGCTGTGTTTTGGGGGCTGGACTAAGGTGCCATGAACTAGTCACCAGCATGGCCCATCACACAGTGGTTAAAGTGCCTCGAAGCCCCCTGTGTTGTGTTGGAGGTTGTTCTCAAGGCTCTGGCGATCCTCCCTCTTCTGGGTGCTCCTCTACATTTGAGGATAGTCCCACCTCTTCCCACGTTCCTGAGTGAGCCTGGCAAGCACCCCGGTGGACACAGTGGAAAAGGCATGTGATCAAGGTCACATGTGGGAGTTACCAGTCCAGCAGGGACTGATAGTGTCCCTCCACAAGGCTGCATTGAGCCCAGGGCCTTGGCAGGTGTGGGCTGTGCCGTGGCGTCTTAGTTCAAGATACTTGTCGCTGGCTTCCCCTCCTGGGCAGCCTGGATTAAGAGCAGGGGTTTTGTCACTGACTGGCAGCTTAGGGAGGATGTTAGTCCTAACTGTAATCACACGTGACCTGAAGGGCAGCCTTGTTCCCAAATTTTCTGTGTATTGAACCAAACACTAAATACAAAACAGTTGAACCTCATCTGGTTTCACTTGTATTCTGACTGCCTTTTTTCAAAACTCTCTTGACTTGGGAAGATACTTGCTTGATCCTTGAGAATGTTTAATTTTACTTGTAGCAGGAGCCAGTCCCTAATAATTGATGCAGTAGGTGGTTGGTGGGGTTTTGTGGGGATTGAACCCAAGATGTCACACATGCTAGGCAAACACTCTACCTCTGAGTTACACCCAGCCTTTTTCCTTTTCTTTCTTTCTTTTTTTTTTTTTTTAAACTTCTTAAAGTTTAAAGATACTGTGTCAATAAGTTGCCCAGACTATCCTTTAACTCACTCTGTTGCCCAGGCAGGCTTTGTACTCCTAATCCTTCTGACTATGCCTGGGTCACCAGTTGTTAGTTTTTATGTGAGTTGAGCTGGCACTGGATGGGATCAGCCAAGTGGCCTGAGTGGTCGTTGAATGAACAAGCCAGGAGACAGACACTGCCTTGGACTGCAGGGGCGCCTCTGGTGGGCCAGTCTTCACTTGCACAGCTCTCAGTTGTAGCCTGGTGTCTGCGGTTCTTGGGAGATGTAAGCGTTTGTCAGTGATTTATTGACAGAAGTGGATCTTTCCAGAGTGATCATGTTACTGTTTTGACCTGGAAACATGCTTGTTAACTTTCTGTTATGTGACCAGATGAGTCTCTTGGTCAAGGGTGAACTAGGGGTGGTGATGGACATGTTCTGCCTCGCTTTTGGGCCATGTGTTGTGAGCTCACAAGGACTTTGTCATCAAAGGGCTGAAGTTTATGTGGCCCAGCACTCATTACAGCTTCCTTGGATCACCTAGAAATGAGGGTGCTACCTCACCACTGCTGCCCAGGGGACCCAGAAGTTGCTATGGATCTCCACATGGGCTCAGAGACACTTCATAGGGTGTGGCTGCTGGAGACATCAGAATGTACAAAGGACACTGGTTTCTCAAGTTTGTGTGTGTCCTCGTGTGAATGTCCAAGGATAACTTGCAGGAGTCTGTTCTCTCCTTCCACTGTGTGGGTTCCAGGGATTGAATTCAGTTTATCAGGTTTGGTGGCAAGTGCCCTTACTTGCTGAGCATTTCACTGACCCTGGTTTTTCAGTTTCTTTCTCTAGTACTTGATGTTTGCATATTTACATTGCTTAAATTTGCCTAAAATGTGTAGTTTGATGGACTTGGACTAGATGGTGACCCACAGCCCTGACCCTGACTGCTATTTTCACTCTGGCCTCCCCAGCCCCCCAGGTTTTCTGATCCTCAGCACAGCTTGGGCAGCAAGATCTTCATTCTGTACTGTGGCCAAGTGGCTCTCTATCTGGATTTCTAGTCTACTCAGCCTAAGTGTTCTGAGTATGATCCACATCCATAGGGCATGGCTGGGTATTCTCTCCTGTGAATGTGACATGACCCCATTTTAACCCACTTATCTCCCCTTTTGGGAGGAGTGGGGGACTGACAGTCCACAGAGATTGAGCCCTGGCCTCTGCCCTAGCCCTGGTCCAGGTGGGGCAGGCCACCTTTTCTCTCCAGACTTCTCTGCTGGGACAAAGAATGAATTTGCAGGTCTGGTCAGAAAGCTGGAAGCTGTTTGGCTTCACTAGAGTGAGCTCAGTGCCACCATGCTGGCCTCCAAGGTCCCAGGTGCTCTGGGTGAGGGGCCTTCCTCCCTGCACCTCCCCAGTCCCTGCTGCATTGCACTAACTGTCCTTCCCAGGCTCTTCCTGGGACCTGTTTGAATTGCTAGCTGTGACCTGTAACCTTATTTGCCTTTGTTTTGTTTTAAGACAGGACCTCCTTGTATCTCCAGTTGGCCTGAAACTCACTGTGTAGACCAGGTTGGTCTGGATCTAACAGAGATCTGCCTGCCTCTGCCTCCCGAGTGCTGGGTTTAAAGGCCTTATTTGCTTCATATGTCACATAAAGCAATGTTTAAAAAGAAAATCTACGTACTGTGTTGTGCACACAAAGTAGCCCTACTAAAGCTGCCAAGTAAAATATCCTTGTCCCTGGATGCCTGTGTGTTCGTGCACCGGTGGTGGTTCAAGATTGATTTTGAGTGTGTCCAGTCAGTTCTTCACCTTATTTTTTGAGGTCTTTTGTTGAACCTAGCACTTGCTTTTTCAGCTGGGCTGACTGACTGAAGCCCTAGGATACCAATATCTGACCCCCAGCACTGGTGCTACAGATGCACACACCATACCAAGCTTTTATGTGGGTGCTAGAGATGGGAGCTCAGGTCCTCACATTTGCATAGCATGCAGTTCACCACTGAGCCATCTCTCCAGCCCACGGGCCAGCTTCTCTCCAGCTCCAGTCTCTGCTGTCTTCATCAGACCCTATACTTACATGGTTCCCTTAGCTCAGGCTGGCCTCAAACTCACTATGTAGCCAAAGATCTTGACAACTTCTGACCCTGCTGCATCCATTTCCTAAGTGTACAATGCCCAGTTTTTGCCATACTGGGGATGGAACCCAGAGCTTCATGCATGCTAAGCAAGCACTCTAGCAACTGAGCTATGCTCTCAGCCCCAAGTACGGGGATGGCAGGCATGAATCAGTGTGCCCAGCTCATAAGAGCAGAATCTGTTAGAGCCCTGGCACAGACCTTCCCATGTGAGTTAGATGAGACATTTGTTGCTGTGAATCTCATTAGGGCTGGCGGAGTATACCCACCCCCTGTAGCATGCAAAGCCAACGCTGTAGAAGCTGCTTTTGGATGTCACACAGGGCCTTGTGTGTGGAACTAGGCACCAGGGAAGGCTGGCTACTTTGTCCTGTGACCTTGGGACATCCAACTGCTTAGTCACCAGAAATGAAAATCACTCCTAGCTCCAGGAATTCTGTGATGAGAATTTTGTTTTCACTGGTGCCTGAAATTCTTATCTTTTCCAGCTTCCCTTGACCAGGCAACAGGTGAGTTGAGTCAGGTTGAACCTGTCTGGTGGGAGATCTTGATTCCAGGAATCTGGTCTTTCTTTGATGGAATGCTTCCTTACCTAAGCCTTAGAAGTGTGTCCTACACAAGCCAACCCAGACTAGTGACTATCACTGGCGAATAGGGCTTGCAATCTGCAGATGGCAGCACATGGCTGCCTGCCTTTGAGTTTATAGCACTTTTTTCCCAGAATGCCCCACGCATTACCAGAATTGTGTCATTTTTCCTGGGGAGATGTGAACAAATGTCTCTTCAGCCAGTAGAACACCAGCAACAGCTTCAAAGCAATGATTCCATCCAACTCTAACTTAGTGAAACTCTGCGTGTGTGTGTGCGTGTGTGTGTGTGTGTGTGTGTGTGTGTGTGTGTATTGGAGTGACTTACAGGAACACTGGTGACTTGAAGGAGGCCCCATCCCTAGAGTGCCCCACGTGACATACAGGTAGCTCAGCTGGTAGGAATGTATTCTCTCTCCAGCAATTGTTACCTTTTACATAGCCTTTGGGAGCAGCTCTGTGAACCTGTGTCAGGAGCTTCCTAAGCCTTTTGAGTGTAGTTTACTCCTGACTTTTAAGGCCCTCCCTCCAGGAGAGGGTGTTTCAATCCAGAGGAGGTAGTTACACAGCACTTTACCCACCCCTTTCGCCTACTCGTACAGTCTTTCTGCCTCTCTCCAGCAATGTTCATGACCTTGGAGGGGGTGATACAGCTGTTCAGTTTTTTTCCTTCACCTGTGGCTAGGTATGGGGCCCTTGTGCCAAGGAAACAGTCACTGAGTTCATGGAACTTGATTTGTTAGGAGTCTCTACAGTGCACCTCCTATTGCAAAAAAAGAAGTTTCTTTCCATGGTGACTGAGGCTGACAGCAGCAGTAATCTATGAATAAAACCACAAATTTGGCAGGCACAATATGTCCATGTAACAAAAGAATGGCAGGAGCCGCCCCAGTGAGGCCTGTGACCTTACCAGTCATGGGGCTTTTACCTTGGCTCGCAGTACCAGATACAAAGGCCAGGTGTGGTGGCACACGACTTTAATCCCAGCACTTTAGAGGCAGAGGCAGGTGAATCTGTGAGTTCCAGGCCAGCCAGGTTTACACTGTGAGACCCTATCTCAAAAAAACAGATTTGGTCTCAAATCGAGTCAGAAATCAGTTGGTTGCACCCATAACAGTTGTGACTCTAGTGTGCCAGTGGGTACATCTTCCCTGGCATGTTGGGACTGTAGCTTGCAGCATCCATAACTTTTCAGACAGAGACAGTTCTCTCCCAGCTACCTACATAGTGCTTTCTTGCATTTTGAGAGGGAGGAAGCTTCTAGTTAAGACCCAGGCTAAGTTATCTGTGTCCTACAGTCAAAGTATGTGGTATTTTCAGTAATAGGGACTCACCATCTGGTTCTGGCATGTAACCAACAGCCTATGTGGTTTGTGGGGCCTCCCTGGCTAACAGCTTTTAGAGCTGACCCAGCCCTGGCACTGGGATTTTAACCTTATAGCTGCCTTCCCTTTTCCCATTCAAGAAAGTGCCTTTGTTTAAGCTCTTTGACTGCTGTCTTTACCGTTCTTTTAGATGCTTTTAAAAACTCCAGAGTTAGGGTTATGTAATAGCAGCCTGTTTAGAGCCTGTGGGCAGGGTCTCTGAAGATGCACCATCTTCTGTTCCAGTAAGTACAGGTTAGGCTTGAGCAGCCAAAGGAATACTAAACAAAAAATTCAAATAGCGTGAAAAGATGCATCTTTAGTCAAAAGAGCAGGGTTTCGTACAGCCGAGTGAATGGGGAACCGTACCCATCTAGCCCTCTGTAAACCGCAGCCATTTTCCCTGAGCCACCTACCCTCCTCACTTGGAGTACTGCTGCTGCTGCCCTGGACTGCTGTACAGCTCCCAGCCCTGATGGTCTTTCGGGCTGGCTTGCCATGCCAACTGCTGAACCTGACTTTTTGGTTCCACTAGGCTGCAGACCACCACTGCAGTCCTTGACTCTCTGTTGGTCACATAGGGCTCCTACAAGGGGCCCCAGGCTGAGCAGACATCTCCCCCGTCAAACCTTGGACAAGCTTCATCTTTTTCCTTGCACTCTTTCATTTACATCCTCTGTGGACTGTTGCTTAGTTTAAAGCCTTCCAGGAGCTCAGCAGCACAGCACTGGCATCCTGTTAGTTTTCTCTGGGAATTCTTAACTCCTATAGATTTGCCACATTTACCTTCCAGTGGCCTGGACACATCCGTTTGTCTTTGCCCTTCTCTCCCCTTCTGGTTAATTTATCTCCTTCTGAACCCAATTTATCCGTCAGTCATTCAGATCTGCCAGAGCCTCACCTACTTCGTGATCACAGTCACAGGCTCAGGAAAGCCCCATTCCAGTCCCAAGTCCCTCTCTTTTGACTCTGCTATAATCACAGTTCTGTCTGACCCAGTGAACTGGGTGTCAGACACCACCTTTCTCCTGCCCAGTGCCTTCAGCGATGCTTGTCCTTCCTCTACTTTCAGTTCCTGATGGTCTTGGAGACTCAGCTGTTGATGAGCAAGTGTTCCTGCTGGCTCCTGTGAACCAGTCCACCAGGGACCAATTCCTTGATGCTGTAGTCTTTGTTTCAAGGAGTCAGGGGTGGTTACATTACTCAGTTTCTCTGCTTTCACAGTGCTCAGACTGATCCTATCCTCCCTGCTGTCCCACAGTCTTATGGACCAGGCTTATGCCAGGCCCTCTGACTTCTTGCTTAAAAGTCTCTTCAAGCCGGGTGTGGTGTCGCATGCCTTTAATCCCGGCACTTGGGAGGCAGAGGCAGGTGGATCTCTGTGAGTTCAAGGCTAGCTTGGTATACGTAGTGAGTTCCAAACCAGCTGGGGCTACAGGGAGACCCTGTCTCAAAAAGACCAAAAAAAGAAAAAAAAAGTCTCTTCACTCTAAGCCACGCAGGGCTGAGCAGCCCTGACCCTTGGCCCGCCTGCATGTGGAATCATGAGCTTTCCCTTCTCTATTAAAGGTGTAACCTGTGGGGTCTCTTCATTTCCACATCCTTTTCCTTGCTCTCTGGGTCTTCTATGAGTTCCAGGTTTTTGGATCCCAGGAAGGGCTCTTGAGCACAGATCTGACTTGAGCTCCCATTCCCCTGCATGCTGGTAGCTGTAAGCAGCAGTAAGCCTTTTCTGCAAAATCAGGCTTATGCTGCGGGTAGCATTTGCATTTTTTCACCCCACTTGTAATTCCTCCTTTACTCAGGCAGGGTCTTCGCAGGTAGACAGCTGAGCCTCATTTCCATGTCCTGTTGCCCACAGCAAAGGCAGGGCCACTGACGCCACAGACTGCTTACGGTCCTGTCCTGTAGGCACTGTATTCAAGGATTGTGATACATTCTCTAGTTTGTCAGTGGTTTGGGGCGGGGAGGACTCCATTCATCGGGGAGGCATGCCACCCTGTACCCAGCAGATGGCCACCCAGGGTGCTCCACTTTCAGATGGCTTGGCCTTGGTTACCTGTCTTACCATGCACAGCAGGGAGCAGCCACCACCACTATAGCAGGAGACATGCCATCCCCACCACAGGGGAAAGGCAGCCATATTGGGACATGCCACCCTGGCACGGATCAGCACCCATTTCAGGGTTGTGCTACTATTCTTCATCTTGTCACCAGTCTGTCAGTCCTTGTTTGTACACATCAGGTGTGTTGTGTGACTTCCTGGAGAGACAGGAATAAACATTTCACCCCAGATAGAGCACTGATGACAGACTAAAATAAGGATATGTACCCAACACCTGCTCAGTGAACCACTGAGCTTCTAGGGACTCCTTACAGGAGCATGTGTGACTCATACCCCAGCTCAGGCTGGGACTCAAAAGAGCTGCAACCCTGGAGTTCCAGCACAACTTTCAGCTGGTGGGTGGGCCTCTTCCCCAGTTACTATTATATAAACCAGGAGGGGGCGGGACACGACACATAACACGACACGGATGCCTTGGCCAGGAGCTTCCTGAGACTTACATGTCTTGTTTACCTCACCACTTTTAACGTGCCTCCTCCTCCAGGAGAGATTGTTCCCATTTGGAAGAACTAGACAGCAGCCAGGCACCTGGCTGGTGATGGGACCCTGGAGTGCATGGTGTCTCTCTGGGGACACTGCTGTCCGGAGTGGTGCTGACAAGGCCAGTCCATGACAGGGGACTTCCATCTTGTAGTGCTGGCTTTTGCCTCATGGCCTCACCCTTAGTGCAGCCACAAGAAGAACCCTACCAAAGGTGTCTGGAAGGCACTGGTTATGGGATGTCCTGTGGCTGAACATCAGCCCTGTGTATTCCTAAGACTGATCCATCCTGATGGTGTCACAGCACACCCCCAGTACATCCGTAAGACTCATTCTCTCTGCTGATGTCAGGGCACTGCCCCAGGCCTGAGTTGTTGTCGCCTGTGCATCCCTAAGACTCATCTGCCCTTGCCATCTGCTGTACTGTTGATGCTTAAACCCCAGCCCCGGCTCTGTCCAGAGGAATCGGCCATGTTCTCTGGTGAAGGCGAGGAGGTGCTGGGCATACCTGCCCTTGCATTGACCTCTGTCTTCCATGCACTTTCTCTCGTCTGGGCTCTGCATGTCTATCGAGTGTCTGTGCTACCCTCTTTGGTGTTACTAGCATGGTTCTCAGGCCCAAAGTGGGCGAAGAACGCCGACTGAAGCTGGTGGGGTCAGAGTTGCTGCAGGCACCATTGCCGTAGTTCCTAGGGCTCTGTCCTCCCTCACCCCATGCATGCAGATCAGTCCTGTTTTTAGCTGAACAGTGTCCATCTCCCCTGCCCCATCATGGAGGTGTGTTGTGGCCTGGAGTCTCCTGGGTTACTTGAGCTGCTGAGCTGCTTTCTAGCTCCTGATCTATTGGGGCCTGGATTGGGGAAGGCCCCACATGTTCAGGCAGGTGTACAGCTGATGGGCCTGCACATTGAGCTTCCCACACTCCCAGCTAGTAGGATTAGTGGGGCTGGGACAGTCTTGGCATGCTCAGGAGCTGCACTCTGATGACATTTTAGCCACCCAGGCTGGGCCAGTGGGCACATGGATAGCACTCCCCGCAGGTGTCAGTATGGCACATGGGGCCCCACTCACACTGGGGCCTGGATTGGGGAAGGCCCCACATGTTCAGGCAGGTGTACAGCTGATGGGCCTGCACATTGAGCTTCCCACACTCCCAGCTAGTAGGATTAGTGGGGCTGGGACAGTCTTGGCATGCTCAGGAGCTGCACTCTGATGACATTTTAGCCACCCAGGCTGGGCCAGTGGGCACATGGATAGCACTCCCCCGCAGGTGTCAGTATGGCACATGGGGCCCCACTCACACCTGCCTCCCTCTCTGCTGTAGATACATGTCCCAAAGCAAGCATGCGGAAGCCCGGGAGCTCATGTACTCGGGAGCACTGCTGTTCTTCAGTCATGGCCAGGTAAGCACTGGCTGGGCAGGACACGAAATGGTGGTGATGAAGAGAGGCCTGGGGTGGGGGGCATCGGGCTACCTGGGCTCTGGCCAGTGCTAGCACAGGACCCTCATGTCCCCAGCAGCTAATGCTTTGATCTCCATGACTGTTACTGTGGGCCCTGGTGGCGGGAGCTGCAAGGCTCACTCTGTATTTACCAGGAGTCCTCAGTGACCAGCTGCATTGCTCAGTGTTCGGCGCAGTGTCCCCAGCTGTGAGTTCACAGGCTGCTGTCTGCAGACCCTGGGGCCATTAGCTCTACGTGAACTCCTGGAGGTCCGGGCACTGTTGCTAACTGTGGCTCTGTGCGTTGTGTGCCTGCAGCAGAACAGTGCTGCTGATCTGTCTATGCTGGTCCTCGAGTCCCTGGAGAAGGCGGAGGTGGACGTGGCCGATGAACTGCTGGGTGAGGACTATGCGCCGTGTGGTGCAGTGCATGGGAGTCTGTCATGTGAGCTGTCACAGCTGGTCCCTGATGACGTACCTCCAGAATCCCTTTCCCTCATCCAGTCCCACCCCGAGGGACTCCGCACTGGGGTTGGTCTTGTTCTGGGATGGTCACCCTGAGCCTATGGGCATGCACTATGGGGTGCACCATGCTGAGTAGGTGGCTGCACCTAAGCCCTGTCCCCTCTCTGGCTGCACTGTCTGCCCAGTGGTCATCCACTTGGCTGTTTGAATGGACAGCAGCCTCTCACCTGTGTCCAGAGACCCTGGCAGTTTATCCCAGTGAAGCTGGCATATGACTGGCAGAACCCTTTTGAAAACTACCCACCAGCCTCTGCTGCTACAGCCAGAGGAGGAAGATACTCTGAGCTGCAGCCTGACTTTACTGCCAATTCAAGCCTGTGCCTGCAGAGCCCTCCCATACCCACATCAGCCAGCATAGGACAGAGGACAGGCCAGCTGGGGAGGGCCCAGGCAGCCCAGACATGCGGGATACTCACTGACAACCCAGTGGTTTGTGGGTTTTCTTTTGAAGATAGATAATTGTGGGGATTTTTTTGGTTGAGGAGAGTTGAGACAAGATTTATGTAGCCCAGGCTAGCCTCAGCCTCACAACACATCTTTTGCGTCTGCCCCAAGTGCTGGGTTATGATACTTTGGTTCATTTGTGTAAATGCGTGACTCCTCATATGTGCTTTTGGTAAGGGTCTGCTTGTGTTGTTGGCAGAAAATCTGGCTAAAGTGTTCAGTTTGATGGATCCAAATTCTCCCGAGCGAGTAGCTTTTGTATCCAGAGCCCTGAAGTGGTCCAGTGGAGGGTCTGGGAAACTGGGCCATCCCCGGCTCCACCAGCTACTGGCCCTTACGCTGTGGAAAGGTAGGCCTTCAGCAGTTGAACACTGTATGTGCACCTGCCACTAATGAGGCGGGGCCTGAGGAATGCAGGCTAGCCTTTCTCTCACTGGCTAAGCCCAGCCTTTCTGCTTTGGTATGAAACCAGCCCTGGACAGACCTCCACCAGCGGGAGGTCCTTCCAGAAGGGACTCCTGGGTAGTGGGGCCACCCCCCTTCCAGTCTCTGTCCTGCTCTTCCCACAGGCCACAGGTTCCCCCTACACCATCCACTCCTCCCCTCTCCTGCACAGCCCTTCCATGGCTCCCTGCCCTGTAGTCTCCTTCCTACTGCTTATCTCATTTTCTGGTTGAGTATTTTGGGAATTATTTGGGTGTGCCTGGTACTCTTGGCTCTGAGTTGGCTAGGCAGAAGAACACAAGCGCCACATACATCTGCTGGGACTTGGACATGCCAGGCACCCCGTCCCCATGGTATTCTGGGGAGTTTGGTGTGGAGCTGTACCCTGTGAGAGTGGGGCCCTCACTTTAGCTCTCCCTGGTGGGGCTTCAGTGAGGGAAGTGACAAGGGAGGGTACACAGCAGCCTGTGGAGCACAGAGCACCTTCATTGGAGCCCCACCCAGGACTTGCAGAGATGTGAGCCAGAGTGCTGTCCCTCCAGAGCTGAGCATAGAAAGCACTGAGCAAGTGCTGCTGCTGTAGCCATGGCACAGCCACAGGATGCACATGTTCGTGCTCTGGGGGAACTGCACCCTCCACTCTGATAGCAGCTCTGCTGGGGCAAACTTCTGTACATCCTGTGGGTCTGGTGTCTCCCCTTTCCCTCCTCCTACACTCTGCCTTCACCCCAGAGTGCAGTGAAAACACCCAGAACTCAGCAGACTCAAAGACCAGAAAGTTGAGGGACACTCAACCCTACCTGAACGTAAAGCAGGGCCACCCACCCTCCTCAAGTGCACCTGCATGAGCCTTAGACCCTCTGCCGCCACCTTTTGGGCTATTCCTGTCCTCCAGCTGAGAGCAGGCTGTGTGTCACTGTGGGCCAGGCCTTCTCTGATGCATTCCTGGTATATGGTCTGGAGACAATGTCCAGTCTGCATGGTGCTGCCTACCACAGGGAGGGGGCTGCGATATTGGTCAGACCCACTTTGAGCAGAGTCAGAGAGACCTCCAAGAGAAGTCCTAGTGGCTGTGTACCTTGGGATGGGTGAGATGCTGAGCCCAGGCCATGACCACTCCAGGGCCTGCCACTGCTGCAGGAAGGGGAGTGTTCCAGGCACTTGCTGGGAGACTGGGTAGCTCAGGCTGCTAGGTACCCTGGGGCTTCCCTGCAGGGCTGGGAATGAGGGTCTGCCTTAGTTACTATCTTAAGTACTTAAGGCACCAAAAGTTCTGGGCAGAAAAGGCCCTTGTAGGTAGGTTAGGATCTGAGGTTTTGGAGGTGGGCGGCCCCTCATATCATGTCTTCTTATTGTCAGGGCTCTGGGAGGAAGAGGAATCCCAGGCTGGTCCTTGCTGCTCACCCAAGATTCCCAGCATGCTTTTGGAGGAGACTTACAGTTATATTACTGGACAGGTTTCTGCATTTGAACATAGCAGCAGGCATTGGTGATCTTTACTGTGCACACAGGAACCTCCCTTGGCCAGGACTGTCTAGTAACCAGGAGGCCAGTTTGTTATTGGCCCACCTCACAAGTGCACAAAGGTTAGGGAACCATAGCAGTCTCACTTAGAGCAGGAAGGAGAGAGACTTTGTGACCTTTTGGCACCAGGTCTTTGAGCATGAGGAAGCTGGTGACAGGCAGGTGTGAGTGGTGCATCCAGGGGTGGTGGGGTCCTAACAAGGCAACAGGTGTGCCCAGGTGAGTAGATGGGTAGGAGCAGGGAAGGAAGAGCAGTAGCTATCTGCACTCCTGTGCCCACATGTACCCACGTATGTCCATCTGCAGCTTCTTTCCCTTCACAGAGCAAAACTACTGTGAGTCTCGGTACCACTTCCTGCACTCCACGGATGGTGAGGGCTGTGCCAACATGCTGGTGGAATACTCCACCGCCCGGGGCTTCCGCAGCGAAGTGGACATGTTCGTGGCCCAGGCTGTGCTACAGTAGGTGTTCACAGGACTCTGGGGTCTTTGCAGATCTTAGGCTGGGTTCCAGAGACAGCCTTGAGCAGGCTACTGTGTCCCCAGACTATACCATGCTGGAGAGGAACCTCCCAGATGCCTCCCACGCAGGGAGCACACTCTCAAGGCTGTGTTTTCAGATGTGCCCCTCAGCCAGGCCCTCCCCCCCGCACAGTGGCCTCAGTGGTACTGCCAGAGCCGCCCTCCCTGCCCTGGGCCTAGTCCCGTGCCTGGGCCTTCCTTGCTTTTGCCCTTCCCCAGCAGATCCAGAGAATCAAGGCACCTACTAAATCTGGTGGGACAGTTGGCCTCTGCCTGCCCACAGCAGCTCAGGGTGGTGTTCATTTGGCTTTTGGGTTTTTTAATTTGCATTCTACATTTATTTATTTAGTGTGTGGAGGGGTGGCAGGGAGCACATGTGGAAGTCAGGACAACCTGCAGGAGTCAGTTTTCTCCTTTAACCATGTGGGTCCCAGGATTGAACTGAGGTCAGCAAGCTTGGTGGCAAGCACCATTGCACCAACCCTGGCACACCTGTTTAATTCAGGATTCGGCCTGCCCTTGTTAGGGAACAATGCTTACTCATGAACAGGCCTTGATTTGCAGGTGGCTGCAGGAGGGTTTGCCAAGGGGACTCAGCAAGATCTGATGATGCCGTTTTGCACGTCACCCACAGCCACGGGCTCTGCATCATTCCTGCTTTTACTGTTTTATTTCTTGAGACAGGGTCTCAGTGTAAAGGCCAGGCTGGCCTCAAACTCAGGAATCTTCCTGCCTCGGCCCTGAGTACCAGAGCTGCAGGCATACGCCACCATAAGCATCTGTTGGTTTTTTTTTTTGTTGTTGTTGTTGTTGTTTTTAAGGAATTAATCGCATTATGCCAGAGGCTTCTGCACATTGCCGAAGCTGCCATCTCCCCACCCAAGGCCTCTGGATAATTTTTCCTTGATACCTTGGGACTACTGGGGTGATATCCTCCTGGCCAGAGACCAGGGCTGCCCAGAGCCCAGAACAGCATCAGGGTTGGTGAGCTATTTCCTATCCAGCCGTCGGTGCCTTGTGCTCCAGACAGATGCAGACAGGTGTGGAGAAAGCAGAGCCCATGGTTGAGACATGAGCTCCCATTCAGGCCCCATTTCCCAGCTCTGTTGACCTTTAACAAGCGGCATCTCCTCCCTAGGCTTCACCTGTGTGCCCATGAGGGGCAGCCCCAGGATTCACCCCAGCCTCTCAGTTGCTGTGGCCCCCTGAGGGTCCCATTCGACCTGCAGAGGCACCAGAAGGTGTCAAAGCTAGGAAGGGTGCTGCTGTTGGCCTGGGCCTTCTGAGCCTGTCTTGGCCTCAGGAAGCAAGGTTTTCCAGGGTATCTGCCTGCAGGACTTGTGCCCACTTGAATATTCTCATGTGCAGATTTCTCTGTTTGAAAAACAAGAACAGTGCACTGGTGGTCTTTACAACCTACACACAGAAGCACCCGTCCATCGAGGACGGGCCACCCTTTGTTCAGCCCCTGCTGAATTTCATCTGGTTTTTGCTGCTGGCTGTGGACGGGTGAGTCCATCCATCTGGGTGATGGGTGTGTGTGTATGTGTGTGGTGCTGTGGGTCTCACTGGGAGGCATTCCTGGCTCTCATTGCAGTGGCAAACTGGCTGTGTTCACAGTGCTGTGCGAGCAGTACCAGCCATCCCTGCGGAGGGACCCCATGTATAACGAGGTAAGGCTTTCCTGCTTGGCCAAGGCTCACCACCTGGTCCGCGGCCTGGAGGAGAGAGGAGCAGGCAGACCTAACTGGGCCCCAAAGCTTGGGGGGGAAGGGATAGCAGGCATCCCCTACTGGGCCCTGTGGCTGGGCAGCTCTGCCTACCTGCCACCTGCTGACCACTGCCCTGCCTCTTGCAGTACCTCGACAGGATTGGACAGCTCTTCTTCGGTGTACCGCCCAAGCAGTCGTCCTCCTATGGAGGCTTGCTAGGTGAGCCGTGGGGCCAGGTCCCTGGCAGGTCGTTTCCCCAATCCTTCCTGCCTTGTTCCCAAACTGCCTGCAGTGGCCTCTCCTGTCCTCAGCAGACACAGGTTTCTCACTTGTTAAAGACTGGGGTGCTGCACCTCAGGGCCACAGGCATACTTGGTGGGTCTGAGCTCCAAATGTGAATGCCTCTCCACCAAGACAGGGCAGGAAATACAGTTGCAAGGACTTTACCATCTTTGCATCCTAGGTGTCCTGGTCTGCTTCTCTGTCTCTGGTGTTAAAGATTCAATCCAGGCCCTTTAACATGCTAGACATGTCCTTTACCACTGAACTACATCCCTCTCCCCTGCCCTCCGACTTGGTGTTCTAAGCAATTCCATTTCAGAGTTCAGAATTCCAGAGCACGTCCCGTTGGGGTTCCCTGCAGGACAGGCATCCTTGGGCTGTGCTGCTGGCAGGCAGCCGTGCCAGCACCATGCATGGCATGGGTTGTGACTAAGGCTCTGTGCCCTGCTAAAGTTGGAGTTTCCATGTGTATGCTATGGCAGGCAGCACAGTTGGAGGGAACTGAGCACTGGTCATTTGCTTGAGCTCCCTGGCCACTGATTGTGCCCTTGTGATTTTGGTGGAGACTGTGTGATGGGTTTTTCTCCTGATTTTTGTTGTTTTTGAGGCAGGGTCACAACCTGTAACTTAGGCTGACCTTGGTCATAGTTGTCTTGCCTCAGCCCCCAGAGTGCTGGGATCATTTGTGAGCCGTGCTCTGCAGCCTTCCTTCTAATGCCCATCTGTCTTGAGCTGATTGTCTGTGGTGGCCCCGTGTGGAGGCCCAGCTGTCTCCATTACTTTCTAGCAGAGCATTGCTGCCTTGTCTTGCCTGTGCCCATCAGTAGCCTGGTCAGAGTGACGTCTTTATGAGAGGCTGGCGTTCCACATATGCACACATTTCAGCCTGGAGTGGTGGTCCCAGGTTGACAGGCTGTGTGTGTCTATCATGCAGAGCTTTAATGTCAGCAGTTACCTTTCCCCAGAAATGGGGCCAGGGTGCTCGAGGGGGCCGCAAGGAAGTGTAAGCAGAGGAGCATTGGCATCTTCACCCCCAAGTGTTGCGGCAAACACCCACTGGCTCTGCTACCCTGGGTCTAGAAGAAACTCCGGGCTCAGGGTTGTACATGGTCATTCTAAGCCTCTCGCTCTCCATTTGAGATGTGCAGACAGGTGACAGCCATGAATATCTCAGGTATGGCCTTGACGCTCTGGTCCTCTTGTGTGAGTCTCAGTTCTGCAGTGCGCATGCTGTGCGACTCTCAGGTCTCCGTGGCACTCATGTGGTTCCTCCATGACTGTACCAGGTACTTTACTGTGGGAGGTTCAGAGTCTGTCTTGTTCCATCACAAGTCATCAGGGACATTCCTGGTGTGGCCTCCAGGAGCCTTAGCCAGCTCTGCCTCGGGCCTCTGTCCTACTGACCGTGGTGACTTGGGCAGTGAGCTCTGGGAAGGCTTCCAGGGAAGCCTCTGGGTAGTGTACCCTTCCTCTAGGTACTGACTGTCATTGGCTTGGTGTCTCTCCCTCTAGGGAACCTGCTGAGCAGCCTCATGGGCTCCTCAGAGCAGGAGGAGGGGGAGGAGAGCCAGGATGACAGCAGCCCCATCGAACTGGACTAAAGCTGCCCGGCCCACATGGAGGTGCCCATGGCTGGCACCGCTGGGACAGAGTCAGTGCCAGACCAGGCATGAGGCCCCTCACCAGCAGGCTTCTGGGTCCGTAGCTGGCAGGGCCGTCTGTGCAGAGTCTGTCCCTATTTATGTATGGTGGCTGAGGGCTGCGTGGCCTGCCTGTCGCTGTGTAGCCAGGACCAAGAGCGAGGTCCAGCACTGCTGGCCGACCGTGTTCCCTCAGATCATCCACAATAAAGCGCAGGCCTTGCTGCAGCACCTGCTGCCATCCTTGTCTCTGGTTCCTTGGGGAGGGCTGCGGGGTGATGCAGCAGCCTGGTGTCAGTGACTGCTGTCCCCTCCCCTGTGTCCAGCGTAGCCGCAGCATGCTGCAGGAGCAATGACTGCTAATGTGAGCTGGGCTGGCCCTGGGTCCTGCAGACAAGAGCAGGTTTCTTGTTTATCTTATTTTTGTTGACACGGGGTCATTTTGAAATCATGGTGTGCTTCCCACAGCAGGCAGAGCACGTGGGCCGTGGTGGCTGGGCTCCTTGGAGGTCACGAGCAGCCGGCCTGGTTGGTATCCCCTGGTCTACAAAGCTGTGGGCCCTGCTGTGCCCTGGTGCGGCCTGTGGTCCCTCTGTGAGAGTTCCAAGCTTTGGGGTCCTGCTGGTCCCTTTAGGCCCTGCGGTGCTGCTCAGGGGTGCTGTAGAGCTCCCCCTGTCCTCATGTTGCAGTATTTATTTTTACTGGGTGATGGATTTTTCAACCTAACATTTTAGGACTTAACCAAATAACCAGTCCAGAAATGAGCAGCCCCATCCATTACCACAGATAATATCCCACGCCACCAGTCTGATTATAAAGGGAGACACTTTATTTTTTCACAGTTAAATTAAGAGTTGTAGATTAATACACCTGGGTCATGCATGGGAAGGAGGGAAATAAGCATTATTTACTGTTTTAAAGAAAATGGAATTTAAAGGAAGGTTTGTGTCACCTGTTTGAGTATAAATAAATCCTTTGTACTGGGCTTCACGCTGGTCCTTTCTGGGTGACCTCCGGGCTGGGCATGGGGATAACTGTGGGCTAGGCGTTTGACCTCTGCCCCTGGGTTCAGGGGCCTTGGGCAGGGAGGGAGTGGCTATGCTGGGGTCCAGAGACTGCAGGCTAGGGTCTGGAGATCTGTGTTCCCCAGGCCTGACCTAGTGAGCTTGGAGGAGGTGTGACCTGTGCTACTTACCTGTGTGTCCAGTTGCTTGTATCTGTCAAAGTGGCCACTGTGAGCCGTGCTGGAATTCACTTGTTTGAATTTAGAAATCAATGTATCATTTTATTGAAATCTCCTCCACTAGGGTGTGCACATCTCAGCTTCAAGGAGCAGGACAGAGGTGACCCTGGTTGGAGTCTCTGCTGCTCCAGGTACTGAGAGGGGTGATGGGTTCCCAAGGTAGTGGGACATAACTGGAACACAGCCACAGGAAGGAGGTCCCAGTCTGCTGGGTGCAGGCGGAAGTTGCCCCTGTTCAGCTGTGACACGCACTTTGAAACCAGGAATTGGATCCTAGGTCATTGATGGAACAGTTTGAGGAGAATTCAGATTTGGAGTATATGTGAGGTTGGTTGGGGTTAACCCTACGTGAATGTAAGGAAAGGTGGTGCGAATATGAGACACTCAGTCACCTTTGTGTGGGAGACCCTTCCCATACACTGGCCCTTCCACACCACAGAGAGCCTCCCCCCATACCTACAGAGCCCCTTACATACACATTCAGTGCCTCCACACACCCCACAGAGCCCCCTTACACATTCACAGTCCCTTACACATGCACACACACAGCCTCCTCCATGCACCTACAGTCCCACAGCATTCCTTAGGATGTCATGGTGTTTACTGTTCCTTTTGGATGCCTGGTACTGTCAAGTGAGAGCCTTCATCCTCAGAGCCTTGTCCAGGCCTCAGCCCTGGCCAGTCTGTGCTCCACCCCTATTGAAGGATGTCCATGCATACAGTCACTTCCCTTGAGTTGTAAGTTCTCCATCTTCCTCACTAAAGATGTTCTTTGACAAATGTCAAGATGGCCAGTGCCCTGATAGGCATGGTGCCTGTGTATGTACACACCCACACATAGACAGCCTCACAGATACGCAGCCACCCAGCAGCATTCACGTACACTAACACAAACATGTACAGCCATGCCACGTGTGGCCCATATCCACAGAGCAGCAGCCCTTGGGGGGCTGTGGGGCTGGCCCTGCTGTAGGCTAAACACACTGGGTCAGGTCCTCATTCCTGAACTAGGCCTATCAGTGAGGGACACGGTGAATCTGTCCTGGTGGGGGTCAGAGGGAGGGAACCCTGGGGTGCCATCACTAGCCCAGCTGCAGTAAGGACCCCGGCTTCAGCAGTGGGAGGAGGGTTTGGGCTGCAGCTTAGTGACCGAGTGCTTCACGTGCAGTGTACTGGGTTCCATCCCTAGTGCCACACACAAACATTTTAGGGGAGAGCACAGCTGCCATGGATGGGGACATGGGTGCACACCTGGGCTTAGCACTTCATACCAGTGCTTTCCTGCAGACTGGATGACTAGTGACCTACCAGGAGTCTATGGCCCAGTACCTCTGCCACAGTTCAAAGCTCGGATGAATGTGGGGAGAAGTGGCCTGAGAGGGCTAGGGGGGCATGCTGGGGTAGGAACTGGGGTTTTGGAGCCCAGAGGCTGGGCTTCTGTTGGGCTGTGACTCCCAGTGCACAGTGATTGGGGACTAACAGGACAAAGGTATTGCAGACTCAGGCCAGGTCTGCCATTGGAGTGACATGGTTCCTCTGTGTCCTGTGTCCACTTCTGCCCAGAGGGAGGCTGCCAGGGCAAGTGGTATTCCCAACCCCACAACTCTCCACTCCAGCCACCAATGCAACAAAAGGGACCACGCCAGAGCCATACTTTATTCCAGGGGACATGACACAGGGCAACGGACGCCCACCTCAGGAACCCTCCCCCAGCTTCCTGAAACACAGCTTGGATGAAAAGGGCCAAGTCTTCCCGGATCACCCACAGATGTGTCCCCCACCAGTGCTCCGCCCAGCTGTCCAGCGGCCAGGACCTGCCCTGCAGGGGTTCCCATGGAAGGGAGCCTAGCTGTTGGGGTGACCAGGGAGCAGCAGAGGAAATAAATTACAGGTGGCTTTTAACTACTGGCCTGCCAGCAGCAAGCAGTCACTCCTGCCCATGGCCACTTCTTGGTTTGGGCTATCATCCCTCAAGGGCTCAAGGACTGCAAGGACAGGGCCAGAGGGCATGGGTCACAGGGCGGGGACGAGCACCGAGCTGGGCACAGATGCCCATAAGCAGATGGGGGCCACCCTGGTTCCCAAGGGAACAGCTGCTGGGCTCCATGCACAGTGCCCAGCAGGCTCCCTCCCTGCTGCCCAAGCCAGCTGTCCTAGGAATACTGGGGGATCCCAAGCACACACTGTTCTGGAAAATTGCCCCCAGTGGCCCCAGCCTGGTCAGCCCTAGTGGAAGGAGGAAAGCTGATCCCCGACCCTTAATCCCTGACTGACACACAGCAGGTGCTCAATAAATACTTGAGGTTGGGAAGGGGAAGGGAGGCATGCGGCACGTCCCAGAGTGAGTCCCCAGCAGCCAGGCCAGCCCGCTGCCACGGCTGTCCACAGCTGACAATGGCTGTCCACGGCAGCCCAGCACCGGGTCCTGCCCTGAGACAGATCTCTTGGGCCAGGAGAGTTAGTAAGGGCCGCTGGAGTTAGGAGACCCAGCCGGGCCCTTGGTGGGTGTCCAGCGACAGGAAGATGGGCCAGTCAGCCGGACATCACTAGGCGCAGCATGGCAGGGCCAGGGTCAGTCAGGCCCAGGGCCAACTCCGCCTGCCATGAGGTTCTGAAGAGAAGTTCATTCAACAGGCTGAGCCGAAACCTGGGCCCCACCTGGCCATGTCTGGGCTACACCAAGGAGGAGGATGTGGGCCAGGAGGCTGGGCTCCCCCACTGTCCAGCAATGCCTGGCCAGCCACTTGAGTGCAGTGTCCTGGGGCCTCTGGGCTCTCTTGCTTAGGGTTTATGCTTGAAGTGGGCTTCCACTGGAATGAGAACAGTCCAGCCTTGGGAATTGCCAGCTCACCTGGCTTCCCCTCCAGAGCCTGCAGCCTCCCTTCTACAGCTTGCCTGGGGTTCCTGGCCAGCAGCAGTGGGATCCCATACCCTGGGGTACAGACAGACACAGGCCCCCTGCCACCCCAACCTGTACCTCTTACCTGCATACTCCTGAGGCAGCATGGGCCTGTCCACCACCTTCTGGAAAGCTGCAATCCACTCACTCTGGTCTGACTCTGTCTCACAGGTGAACAGGAACTTGCGGTCAGGGGTGACAATGGTGATTCCGTGGGGCCAGTGGTGGCCTTGGGTAGATGGCGGGAGTCCTTCCAGCACAGTGTAACCACTCTCCTTGCTGCCTATGAAGACTTCTCCGCGGGCAAAGGCATCCTGCAGGTGGGAAGAGGCTGGGGCCAGAGTGGGGATCCCCTCCCCACCCAGGCTGTCCTGTTTTCCTCTCCAAGCCAAGCTATGTGGGGTGTCATGGCCAAGACCCTGAAAAAGCCAGTGCTGTCCGTAAGCAGTGAGCCCTGGAACAGGACTGCGGTCAGACCCTCCTTACCAGGGGGTCTTTGAAGTACATGAGCCTCCGGTCATCCATGGTGAACCAGCGCTTCCGGAAGCCTTCTGTTTGCTGTGGATCAGGGAGAGTGGTCAGCAGTCAGTAGGTCCAAGGTGTACCTCTAACCTGGATGACCACAGCTCAGCATCCAGAGGGCAAGGCCTCCCTGGGCCCTGCTCTGTCCAGTCAGTGCATAAGGGGCCCTGGCCATGCCCAGGGGCCCAGGTGGGGAGCCAGGCCTTGGCTGTAGGCGCTGTAATTTAGTCCCATGCTGCACAGGGCAGGTACACAGGGCCCTGCTGAAGAGGGACCTGAGAACAGGAGGCTCAGGCCGACCTGAGCCCCAGTACCTGAAACCAGGCCAGTGGTCTGGGTCCTGGGTCCCCAGCCTAGCACCAGGGCATAGGCAAGGGGGCTCAAGGACCACCCTGAAACTCAAAAGTCATGGAGCAAAGTGGCTGGCCCCCAGGACAGTTGAGCTGCACCTGGGAAAGTTGCTGGTGCTCTGGCTTGAGTCCAGTGAGCCCTGCACCAGGTCCAAACTACATTACATATACCAGGCAGATGCCAGATAGCTGACCTTGGAGTAGGCTAGGAGACCCTCCACCCACATACCTACCTTGGGCCCTGTCTTCTCCATATAGCCTTCCTTCAGGTAGTTCCTGGAGAGCTTGGGCACCAGCTACAAGACAGACAGTGGTGAGGCCCACCTACCCTGTCCACCAGGCTGTCTGCCCAGCACAGTCTGCAGTTGGGTTCCAGCCCCAGACTGAAGAGCCACAGTCAGCCCTTGTACCTTTGTGGGGACCCACATAATGGCTTTGGTCAGTTCTGTGTCCCACCCCAGATGACTGCCTCCTCACTCCCCTACCCAGTGGCTCTGGGGTGGCCACTCACATCTGCATCACTGGCTCCTGGGAAGGCCACCTGCAGGTAGTGGAAGCGGGCAGCTCGCAGCGCATTGAACCAGTCCACGATCTCCTGGGGGCCAAGGATGTGGTGAGTGACAGCTCCTGAGGCTCTGCCTCCTCCACAGTCCCCCAGCTGGGGCCAGTGCTCTAAGCAGCCACTGGACGGCCAGCTGCATCACCATTACCCATCCCTCATTAGGCCAAGATGGAGCAGTCGGGTGATCAGGGGCAGAGGACAGGCTGAAGCAGGGGACAGGGCAGGGTTGACATCCCAGCTCTGCACACCCCAGATACTGTTCTAGACACCTCTCTGCACCTAGCCCTGCCTGTCCTTGCTCAGGTCCTGGCCAGCCCCCTCACCAGACTCTGCACCCACTTAGGGTCTCCCACTCCTGACAGGAGTTCACAGCCTGGAGCTACAGCCGTGGCCCCACCAGGCTACCACTGCACAGGGAGCAGGGACCCCACACCTGCCTCCCTTGCGGCCTGTTTGTGTCTTCCCAGTTCCTCGACTGGTAAAATCCACAAACCCTCACAGCACACAACAAACCAAATGGTGCTGCCGGCACCTGGCTAAGCCTGCGCCCAGTCCACCCGTCCTTTCTCCCTCCACATCCCCAGCAGCCCTCATGGCTCTGCCTACCAGAAGCCCCACCTTTCCACCTGTAGAAGATCCCTACTCTCATCTTCCCTGCCTTTGCTCCCTGCCAGCCCCTGTGCTCTCTCCTCCCTACTGTGCTGTCCATTAGTCTCCTGTCCGCCCCACACTGCTACAGAACCAGGATGCCCACTACCCTCATGCTATGGTTGCAATGGCTCATACCCCAACATCAACCCTTCCAAATCCTGCCCACCTTGACTTTCAGGACACAGCCCTCCCCTTAGGGTCTGCTCTATTCTCATGGTGTGGCCTTGGGCACCACACATCCAGCCTTGGGCCTGTCCATTGTTCTAACCCGTTCTACCATACCCCTGGCTCCTAACCCTCTGCTCCCTGCTGCACTGTCTCCCAGTTCAGCTTGGTTCTGGGCTGGGCACATGGCTCAATCAGTAAAATCCTGGGTTTGTAAGCATAAAAACCCGAGTTCAGTCTCCAGAACCCACACCCCACAGCCGGGCGTAATGTATGTTTATAATCTCAGAATAGGGAGGCAGAGAATGGAGGATCCTTGGGGGGTCACAGTGCAGCCAGCTGGCCTAGCCAATCAACGAGCTCCAGGCCAGTGAAGGACCCTGTCTCAAAAAACAAGGTGGGGCTGGGGAGATGGCTCAGTGGGTAAAGCACTACAGCAAAAGCTTTTGGGCCTGAATTAGGATCTCATGAACCTACACAAAGCCAAACGTGTGTCTAATCCTGGTGCTCCTGTGGCAAGAAGGGAGAAGTGAATAGCCTGGCATACACAGCGATGAACAAGAGACGCTGCTTCTCACAAGGGGTAAGGCGAAGACCAACACCCAGCACCGTCATCTGACCTACGCACACACAAATTACACACATGATTAAAAATAAAATTGGGCTGGGTATGATGGTGCATGCTTTTAATCCCAGCACTCGGGAGGCAGAGGCAGGCAGATCTCTGTGAGTGAGGCCAGCCTGGCCTACATAGTGAGTTCCAGGACAGCTGGGGCTACAGGGAAACCCTGTCTCAAAAAGACCAAAAAAAAAAAAGTGGTGGAGGGACTGGAGAGGCGGTTCTTGTAGAGGACCAAGGTTTATTTCCCAGCACCCACTTGGCAGCCAATAACCATCTGTAACTCCAGTTCCAGGGTATCCAATGCCCTCTTCTGGACTCCATGGGGATTGTACAACACAAGTGCACTTATATATGTGCAAGCAAAACACTCATACATATAAGATTAAAAATAAATAAAAATCTAAAAAAGAAATGGCTGAGAGATTTGCACCAACACTGAACTGTGGGGAGGAACTGTCCAGAGTGAGAATAGAGGGAGGAAGTCACTAAAGAAGTCATTCAAGAAAATGCCCTGGGGCCCTTGTGGATATGAGTCACTAACCTGGAAAGGATCAGTGCCAGGTGAGGCTCAAGGCCCAGCACTGGGAAAAATTCCAATCTGAATTCTCTCGCTAGCCAAAGTACAGTGAGCAGAAAGGTAAAATTCCAGACACCAGGTCTCGTCAGGCCACTCACCTCCCAGGCACCATCTCAGAAAGCTACTGCAGGGTTTGCCCCAGCCAAAGGAGGCCATAAATCAAGAGCTGATGGCTTCGGGCAGGAAAGGAGGAGACAAAGCCAGGAATCTGAATAGTCCTAGGGCTTGGGTGGACACAGGCCACTACAGGTAATTTCCCAGGGAAATAAGTGCATGGGATAGAACAGCAACAGCTGCCCTGCCACCACTAGTGTTTTTGCATAGTCACAAAACAAAACACAGACCCTGAACACAACACAAATGAACACCACAGTTAATGATGGCACAGGGAGGCTGGGGGGCAGCATGGAAGACCTGTAACTTTTCCCAAGAGAGTCACCAGGTGGTACCAAAACCAGACAGGTCCAGCAGCAATTCCATCATGTTTACAGATGCAGGGCCACTTGCTGAAGGATCAGCCTAAACTCCAGCTTCCCATGCATTGAGGCTCAGCTGTGCAAAACCACACTCATGTGTGTGGGAGCCAGAGCACAGGAGGTTGGGGCCCCTCTGCCCTGCACACAGGCTCTCAGGTTTGCCTGGGGTATCCCACCATTCCAGAGATGGCTTTGGCCACAGAGAGCTGTGCTGCCCCTAAGGCAGGTCTGGATGAATCCTGGCATGTCGGGGGATTGCACTGCTCTGCCTCCCCGCAAATCCCACCACCCACCCAGTGGTACCCACCTTCCCGTCCTCATGGTAGATGAAGATGTTGCGGGTGCTGTTGTCCTTCAGGTAGGTGACTTGCAGGCCATGGGGGTGGCCAATCTTGGCTGGTTGGAAGGTGGCATTCAGATGTTCGATCTTCATGATGGCTTTGGGCTCCTTGGCCTGTAAAAGAAGTTTAGTCAGAGCTCCAGGCAGTGGCCACTGTCCAAATGAGGTGGGTCTGGCTGGGCACACTTGCTGTACTGGGCAGCCTCAGGTCAGCTGCTTAACCTTTCTGATCCCCAGCTTCCTGGACAGTGAATAGTAGGTAAATTTCTCCTTCCCTGAATGATGGGGACTACATCTTGGGGCAGGAGACAACACTTGGTAGCTGGAGAACCCTCCTCCCATGTCCTCTGCCCTGCGACCACTAAATTCTTGCCTCCCTGTGCATCTGGGGCTTGCAGACTGCCTGTGTCCAGGATAGTCAGGCAGTGAGCCAGGCAGCTAATCTCTTCCTGCTCTTGACCCTGGACCCTGCTTTCTTGGGGCAGCCCCCTTTAAGATATAGGTACTCACCAGCCTTCCTCCCTCAGCCGCAAGCCTATGATCTCATACAGGTGCCCAAGAGGGAGCACCCACTGAGACCAGGTTATCAGGACACACCCCCTTGGCAGTCTTGGACTGCTCACCAAGACCTGGCCTAGTGTTTACTGTCCCTAGATCAGTCTATTCAGGCTAATGTCAGGGTGTGTGGGTGTCTCTGGTATTCTGACTGGCTCTAAGGAGCTGTGTGACCAGCCCCAAACCTGCCCCTCAGCTATCAGGAGCCAAAAGTTTCTCACCCTGAGGGGGTGAGAAACCCCCCCTCAGCTGACCCAAGATTCTACCTTTGTTTGGTCCCTTGGACCCTGGAAGTGCTCACCGATGGGAAGCTTCAGCCTCCCTAAGGCCATTTGGCATCACCACCCAAGGTATGGCTCCTGGAGACCCCAGGAAGGGACAACAGGGTTGGGTGGGGTTGGGGGACCTGTGTACAGTATGTGTAGGGGTGCACACATGTGACATCACCCCAGGGGAGGAGCTGTCATTCATGAGGGGTGTCCCCTGGGAAGCTGTCTTTGGTGAGAGGGCCAATGCCAGCCCTGCAGATCCCAGGGGAGGCCAGGATGCTGTGTGGGATGGTCCCCAGGGCTCACATCATTTTTGTTGAAGTACTTCAGGGCCCCTTCTCGTTCCGTCAGCACAAACTTCCGGCTTAAGAACTGCCCATTGTCCCGGCCACGCTTCCAGAGAATACCCTCACGGTACCCTGAGAGAGAGAGAGAGAGAGAGAGAGAGAGAGAGAGAGAGAGAGAGATGTCAAGAGTGCAGTGGGCTGGGCAATGCTTGGCACAGAGGAGAGAGGCTCCATCTGGCCATCCTGGCCTTCTTCCTAGGGACCCTCCACTATGGAGGGTGCACACATGGGGAGTGCAGGGCTTCTCTGGCCTCGTGTCCTTCCTTGGACCTGAAGCCCTGTGCCCAGAGGGACCTGGCCAGATGCCCAAAGCATCTGGGGCCCAAGCTACAAGCCCACCTCTGCCCAATAGCGGCTCAGCACCCACTCAGATCTTCCCACGTGGGCAGGCCACCTAAGAAGCAAGACCTAGGGGCCTGGATGGGGATCTTTAGGGCTTTTTTTGGTTTTTGATTTTTTTTTTTTTTTTTTGGTTTTTTATTTTTTTTTTTTTTGGTTTTTTATTTTTTTTTTTTTTGGTTTTTTATTTTTTTTTTTTTTGGTTTTTTATTTTTTTTTTTTTTGGTTTTTTTGAGAAAGGGTCTCCCTGTAGCCGCAGCTGGCCTGGATTCACTACGGAGCCCAGGCTGGCCTCGAACTCACAGAGATCCACCTGCCTCTGCCTCCCGAGTGCTGGGATTAAAGGCGTGCGCCACCACACCCAGCGGGATCTTAAGATTCCTCAAAAGGAAGTGGTGGGTAGGCACAAGAAAAGGCAGCAATATATGGAGTCAGTGGTCTTGGTGATGCCAGGGGCTGTGAGGACCCTCCTCCAGAGTCCTGGGACCAATGTGGCCCATGGTGTTAATGTTGGTCAGTCCTGGGGACTCCTACGCAGTTCAAATCCCAGGGTGTTGTCAGCCACTGTGCTGGTGGCAAAGGATGGCACACTCAGACGATCTAGGCCCTCGCTCTCTTCCCCACTGCCTGGCTTTGCTGTACAATGCGTGGTCCCCATCTATCTACAGGGAGCTGGTGCCATGGGCTCTTCATGGCCATTTCTTGGGATGCTCCTTGGAGTCACATTGGGATTTCCCAGTGACCTGCTGGTGCATGCCTGCATTATTCCAAGTTTCTGCAAGCCATGAGTTTTGCTATCTAACTATCTCTGCTGGGTGTTAGGCAATGGAAGGGCAGCCTCTGTGTTACTAGTGTCATCCAGAACCTGACAGCTGTAACCAGCTCAGTCCTGATCATTGAACTCCCTCCCCCCGTAACGCCCCTGCTGATGTCCTCTGCCCACTGCCCAGGAGTCCTGTTCTGTTTGCAGACACAAGGGGCTATTTTCTGTGCTTTCTGAGACATGTGGCCATAAAAAGGCAGCACCCTGGCATCACAGAGGGGGCAGCTGGCAACTCGGGACAATTGGTCAGTTTGTCTCAGGGTGTGCCAGGAAGGGCCTGCCCCCTGCCCCAACTTCTCAAGGGATGGGGCCTCTTTGAAGCTGTGGGGTGGCTGATGTGCCTCGGGTCTCTCCTTGTCAGCATCAGCAAGCAAATCCCTTTTCTGTTCTTGGAGACTGGACTGCTAACACGTCCCACTAAGCCCAATCAGGGCCAACACAGAACATTTGTTGACTGACTCCACTGAGCACCAAGCCCAGGCAGGCAGGGACGTCCACACCTGACCCCCTTCAATTTCAGAAAACAGCCTCTCTAGACTTAAGCAGGGACTGTAGAAATGAAATGTTGGAGACGGCAGGGTAGGGTGCAGCAACAGCCTAGACGTCACCCTCAGAACCTTCAAGCCGTGTTTTGTGGGCTGGTACCAAAGAGCCAGTGAGAACACGGTTCTCGCATGCTGTACTAATAGTGGCCAGCAGATGGCAGCAGTGCACAGGGAGCCAGAGGCCCACGGGCTGATCCCTGCTGTCTTACTGAGGCTCCTGCGGAGGTATGGGACTCTAGCACCGAGTCTTCTAAGCCAGGCCAGGCCAGGCCCGAAGGGCACCCTGGGGGCCTGACCAGCTTCCCCGACAAGCCGCCGCCATGTCTGTATTTCGGGCCCCGTGATGGCAGCACAGATATTTTTGGATGGGTGCTGGCCAGCGTCCCTGGCCTGGCCCTGCCGGAGCCCCGGGCTTCTCTCACAGCACGGTCTCCTTCTTGGTACCATGGGAACGGGGCCAGCTGAGAGCTGAAAAGTGAACCTCTGCCCAGCCCCACCTGCCTGGCGGAATGATCCCTGCCAACCCCAGTCCAGGGTCCTCAGTCAGCAGGATAGCCAGACTGCCCATCTGGGCGCACTTGAGGCTGGGTGTGACTAGTGGTGACTGCCCTCTCTGAAAGAATTAGTGGATCCTAGAGCAGAGGCCAGAAAGTTAAGTCAGCACTGATTGGATGCCTACTGTTTGTAGAGATGGGGCCAGCTGCCAAGGAGCTGGGGCCACACCTCATAGGGGCTGCACGTTCTGAGACTAGAAAAACCTCCTGAGGAAGGTGCAGGACAGGCACAGGAGGGGATCAACGTCATGCATCTCGGAAAGGGAAGAAGTCACAGCAGCCAGGCACTGCACAGCTCCCCCACAGGCAAGGCAGGTCTTCTGCCTGGTGAGAACACAGAGCTGTGGGCATACAGTGGTATGGCCACTCTGCAACCTAGGCAGGCTGGTGATTTCTTTCTATATAATGGAAGTGGGGGCACCTCACTATGTAGCTCAGGTTGGCCTCAAACTCAAGATCCTCCTGCCTCAGCCTCCAGGGTGCTGGGGTGATAGGTGTGTACCACCATGCCTGACTTTAAAATTTTTTTATTTTAGGCCGGGTGTGGTGGCGCACGCCTGTAGTCCCAAGCACTTGCAAGGCAGAGGCAGGCGGATCTCTGTGAGTTCAAAGCCTGCCTGGTCTACACAGTGAGTTCCAGGCCAGCTGGGGAAGACCCTGTCTCAAAAAGACCAGAAAATATTTTATTTTATGTGTATGACTGTTTTGCCTGCATGTATATAAGTACAGTACATGCATGCATTTCCCACAGGGGCTAGAAGAGGATATTGGATCCCTTGGAACTGGAGTTATGGATGGCTGTGTGAGCCCCCATGTGGCTGCTGGGAACTGAACAGGTCCTCTGCAAGATCAGCCAGTGCTCTTACCCACTGAGCATCTCTCAAGCCCCTCATGCCTGAATCTTAATGCTCATAAACTGGAAAGAAGCAAGTGTTCCTTGCGGTCTCATGTGCCAGGTAGACAGCCCTGCCACCCACAGGAGGAGCTCCAAGGCCTTGAACTCCCCAGGCACACAGGAGAGAGCCAGGCCCTGGGGTGCCTCGGGATGCAGGCAGGAGAGCTGCAGTGGCAGGGGTGGACACTGCAGAGGTTTCTGTGATCTCATAGTTCCATAACCTACAGCTATCACAACTCGAAGAACTGTGTTCTAAATAGGATATGCAAAGTGTATGTAAATTATGTGGTATATATGTAAACTGTACTTTTTGTACAGGGCAACAAGCACATGGTTTTGCTTTAAATGTGACAGGAAACTTGCTAGGCTGTGAGTCAGACTGGGCACCCAGGGCCACTGTGGGACCCTCCCAGGTAGAGGTGTTCATACCATCTGGCCTCTCCCTCTGGGCTTTGCTCTGATGGAGGGGAAGACACAGAGATAGGGCTAGGAGATATTGGGGAAACTGAGGCTCCATCACCTTACCTGGGCCACCCAGACCCAATCTCTGGCCTCTGAGTTCTTCCTGCTTTCTGTAGGCCCAGAGACCTTGCCGGGGCTCTAACAGGGGCAACCTACACCTAGAGGAACCAGACTCCAGAGTCAGAGGCCACACTGAGTGTGCTCAGGACTCTGCCTCTCCCAGCCCACTGCTCTGGCCACTTGGGTTCTATCTAGACACTCTCCAGGTCCCCACTGGCCTGACAGGATGTCTGGGCCCTTTCTGTGTCCATAAGACAGGACATGAGCAGGTTTCCGTATGTGCAGATTCTGGGGTGGTATTGCTTGCCACCATTTCACAGGGACACTGACTCCAGGGAGTGCAAAGGGGCCACATGGATAACAGGCTGAGATTCAAAGTGGGTGGTCCTTAGAGCTGCATGCACCTGCAGGGGCCTCCTTAGCATGTACACCCCCATTCCACCTGCTCCCTGGGAGCCTCATCTCCTACTCTAGACAGCTGGAGTCCTGGTATCAGGTGGTCCTGTCTACTCGGCCCGTCTTACCACCTCCCATCCCAGCTCTGGGAACAGCTCCCTCTTCCTCCATGTCTCCTTCCTTGAAGGGCTGCCTTCCCAGATCAACTGCACCAAGCATGTTCCCATCACCCAGTGGTGCCTGGCCTAACTGGACTCCCTGGATCGAGGCAAGGTGAGGCAGGGTCCTCCTCTGAACATCTGACACCTCTCAGGGCCTGGCTCCTGGGGTCTCCATATCACATGTACCCAGTGTGCAGTGACCTGGTTTGAAGATGCCCTGATGCTCTAAACATTCATGGAGGCCCTTTGTGTGTGAGCAACCCACATTCATTTTTTTTTTCTTTTTAAATTTTTTGGATTTAGTCTTATTTTATATGTGTGAATTTTGTCTACATTTAAGTGCACCATGTACATGAAATGCCCAAAGAGACCAGAACAGATTCCCTGGAACTGGAGTTAAAGACAGTTGCTGGCCACCATGTGGGTTCTGGGAACTGAACCTAGCTCCTCTACAAGAGCAGCTAGTGCTCTTAACCCCTGAGCCATTTCTCCAGCGCCCACCCTCCACATTCATTCTTAATCACTTCTTTGCTCCACAGCCAGCAGAGCAGGGTCTGGCAGGGGGTGGGTCTGCTGAGCCCCAGGCTCCAGCGCAGGACCCCAGGCACTGGACTTTTGAGCTGTGTTCCACTTTGTATGCAAGGAATCAGTTCCTTGGAGATGCTGCTCAGCTCCGTAGAGACACAGCAGTCACTACAGCTCCCGGGCTGACTCCAGAGCACAGGACTGGGGCTCTCTGGTCATCCTTACCGCCTCTCCCTACCTGTACCTGGCACAGGCAGGGCACACACCAGGTCTGGAAGAGGCCTGGTACTTGTGGGCCGACTGGCTGACCCC